AAAGAAAGAAAGAAAGAAAGAAAGAAAGAAAGAAAGAAAGAAAGAAAAAGAAAGAAAGAAAGAAAGAAAGAAAGAAAGAAAAAGATTAACAAACCTCATACATGTCTATATATATAGTGAGAAATCTAGAGGTACTGGTTGGCTATACTAGCTGGAGAGTCTGGAGATTGTAGTCTAACAAAGAAATCCTCCAATTTGCGGTGCTAAATCTGATTTTTCTGTTCAAACATTACTCAAATGCAACTTTTTTGTAAAGCTGGGCATCAAATAGTACAACTTTCTGTAAAGCTGAGCATCAAGCACAATTCAAATCTTACATGAGGCACAAATTAATTAATTTTTAGTGTTGATTCCCATTTGGTTCCTCTGGGGTTACTGTACAACATGCACTGTGAGAGATGCTAAAAGAATTCAAGCATCTTTTGAAACGTCCTGGCTACCTTGTAATTTATCTCCATGCCTGTAGTACTGTCAAGCAACTGATGGAGGGAAGGGGGGACCACTTTTGCAGCATAGATGTCTTGAAGAAAGAACCGGTCAGAGAATTATTTTCTTTTTACCATTTACCCAACAGAGATTTAGTGTCCTGTCTTACTGAGCTCTCCCCACGCAGACATAGAAGGCACTTTGCATTCACCAGATGAGCCTTTGAGATGATTACCGAGGACCTTCTTGCCCCCAAATTTATGGTACCCCAACTTGAAAGTTTACATTTTCTTATATTTATAATGGCTTAAGGGCTCGGTAACATTGAGGGTATTGCTTTTGTTTCTTGAAACCTTTATGCTTTATTACAACAGATACAGATGCAGGCCATTAAGTGACAGGGCAGATTATGGGAAGGTTACATGTGGGATCCACTGTGTTATCGTTAGACTTGTCAGCTAGTCAAAGAATGATCAGTTGCTTCATGGGTTTAAAAGCAAATAATTACTTCAACCATAAAATACTATATTGGGGGAAGTATGAGACTGCTCTCAATTCAATAAACAAAAGTACTGTTCATTGTTAGAAGTAGCTCTTTGCATTAAATGCAGCTCTTTACTTTTCCTCTGACAGCATTTCTCTATAATTAAAGTGTAAAAGAACAAAACAAGAACATTGTTCTGTTGCTAATGAGGCAACTAGTTTAAAGCCAAAGGGACATCTAACTGCTGACATGCACAGAAGTGAAAGGAAAGTCTAATGCTGCAGAACACATACAAGAAATGGAATGTATAAACATTACAGTGCTTGGCGTCAGTGAACTAAACTGGACTAGAACAGGACATTTTCAGTCCGACAACTAAAAAGTGTTCTACTCTAGAAATGACAAACTTAGAAGATATGGACTGAGACAATATGTAGCACAGGCATGCAGTGCTTTAAAGGTCATCACCAGCGATTTGAATTGTGGCAGGAAGTAGACTAGAAGCCAGAGCATGGAGTCACATGCTTGCTATATGCAGATGCTGGTAACAATCTGGCCACTGCATTCTGGACCAACTACAGTTACTGAGTACTCTTCAATGGCAATCCTAGTTACAGCACAGTAGAATAATTCAGGTGTAGTCTGTATAAGGCATGTATCATTTGATTTGTGTTCCAGATATAATATCTACTGTACGTTTAAACTTATATAATTAATGACTTCTTTAAGTTTAGCTATTTAATTTAATACATTTTAGACAAAAATATGCAGACAACCTTTTAATTTTAAAAAGCAATATACCGGCCAATTCTATGCAAACATCAATGAATTCAGTGAAACATATTTGTAAATGTGTGGAAGACTGAAGCCTTAGCTTTAGAAGCAGTGACATGCCCATTTACTAATACTACTTTCAGACTTCATTTCAGATATAAAGTTGTGAACAATTATTGTCTTACACTACCTTTTCAGTGTTTCCAGGGGCTCCTTTCTGTCTATGATACCTGTATCTGGGTCTACAGTTGTCAAAATACACCTGCAGTAGTAAACAAATTTTAGTAAGAAATATGATCAAACAGTGTGTTATTCCCTGTTGCCAACCAGAAGCTTACCTGCCGCATTGCATAACCAATTTCATTTCCACATCACCAATTATAATCTTGTCCCAGGTATCCTAAGGAAAATAAAAAGTGCCTACTTAGACTTCATACAATTTTCTCACAATATACAAAGAAATGTTTTTCCATTTAAGTACAGCTTCTTAAAATTAAACTATTCATCTTTCCATGGGAAGATGACGGCTAAACCACATCAGTGAAAGAATGAGGTAATAACAAAAACTATCTTCCTCTGGGAAGAGAGCTCAGAAAATGATGATGATTAGAACTACTGCTGGCCACAGGAACCATCACTTCGAGCACTAATGGGGTCTAGGAGTTACAGGAGAACAATACAATTTTAGAAGATCAGTAAAAACCGAATTAGTTAAGGAGGCCCTTGGCAACATCCTAGGTTAATTTTTGAGAACCCTAGTCTATTGTAGCTATTGATTATTTTATTATATTACTGGACATTTTGTTTTATTATGTTATGGTTTGTATAATTTAGTTCACCTAAGCCACCAGACGACAATCCTCAGTCACCTTCCTATTTTTGTTTTCATTTGTTGTATCTACACCTTTTATTATTTTAATTTGTATGTTTTGCTTAATTATGTAAACTGCTCTGAGTTCTCATTAAATCAGGCAGTCTAGAAGCTCAGTCAGTCAATCACCCCAAAAGTAACTTTCAAATTATCATAACAGAAAGGAGAGCTGGTTAGCTGATCATTCTTATCTGGTAATAAGCCTAGTTATTACATTCTTCAAACTAAATTATCATGACTAAATTTAAAGAAACACCCAGATATGACTTTAGACCATATTTTTAATGGAATAGTTGGGGGAGGGCTTCCTTCAGCCCACAATAAAACTTCAGATTTTCACTTCTGATAAAAGATTACAGTGGATTACGATTTTCACATGGCCACATGACTATTGTATGTAGGCTGGCCTGAAGCAGGTACCTCAGGCTGAAGTTTCTGGGAACCAAGGACAGGCAGCAAGATGCAGCTGGACCATGCTTTGTGTGACACTCACCTCCCTGACATACCCTAAACTAGCTAGTTGCCCTCAAGATGTAGTGGAGGACACTGTCCTGTTGCCAGTGCAGAGTAAGATCCGACTGTCAGACCAAGTCAGCTTGTGTAATGAAGCCATCTGGTGCTTCATTTCAAGTGGCAAAACATCTTGGGCATGCTTTGACTTTACAAGAAGACAACTATGAGGAGAAAGTAACTGCATGATTACTCTTCCAGTTCAAACACAGTCATGTAAATAGAAGGAACACAGGATGTAAACTCATGATTGTAAACTGATGTCTAAAACCATATAGAATATGTTTGTCTACACTGACCGCCAGCAGTTTTCCAGGCTTTCAAGCAAGGGTCTTTCCCAGGTCCATCTAGGCATTTAAGGGACTGAGTCTGGGGCCATCTGGGGCCAACCAGGTACTCTACCACTGGGCTACAGTTGTCTGAAGTTAAGACTTCAAAGCAAGTAACTGAGAAGTTGCCTAAAATGTGCTCTCCCGTTGCTAAGTGTGGAGAAAAGAACAGAAAATAAAGTGCTTTTGTGTCTCCAGATACAAAAAAACAGGATGTTTGGTATATGAACAGGATTCTTTCTATGCTGCTTCTAAAAGGATAGCTATGTTTTAGTCTGCCCAAAACAAAACAGTTGCATGGCCTCCTAAACCCCAAGGATGTTATGGTAGCAAACATTTTCAAATACCATTTTGTCAAACAAAATATCATTTTGTCCAGCAAACAAACACATCTAGAAGTGTAAACCACTTCCGAGTGCTCTCTACTGAGAAAAACCTGAAAAGGGTCACATTCCCTTCTTCTGGGGGCATCCTGGGACTCTGCAAAGAAACCAGCCAGCAAAACAAACCCATATTCCTCTCCAAAATGATTGTCTTTAAGGCAAGAACGTGCAATTCATGACCACATGGTTCTTTGCTGTCTGAAGCATTCAATATTTCACAAAAACCTCCAAATGGCAATGAACTTGCTCTTTCTCCTCTCTGTACAAGGTGATGTAATCTGGCTTTTAAAAGGAACATGGCAAGCCACCCTTCCAAAACCTTGTTCCCAGCATATATGTTAGGCTGCAACCCTAACCAGTTACTGACCGGGGATGGTGATTGACATACTTCAACATTTCTAGAGCACATGAGATTTAGAAAAACTGTACTAAGGAATGCACAACACATTATTCCCAATCCAGAGAAAGCAAGTTGCAGTTTAGTTCCAAAGAAATCAATTTAAGGACAAATATTTGGGTTGCAGCCACTTCTTGAATAGCAGTGGTAGTAAAAATGATGCCTTCCAGGAGGTCTGGACTACAGATGGGACTACCCAGGTATTAAGATCATCAGGAGGGGCCATTCCATCCTGCCGCCTTCACAGGTGTGTTTGGTGTGGACGTGGGAGCATCTCCATTGATGCTCCGATGGGAGTCCAGGATGGCCCTATCTTTGCTGTCCTTCCAGCAGGCCTTGTTTTAAATGACTGGTTGACTAAGGTGATCTTTTAAAGAGAGCATTTAATTCTAGGTTTTATTTGTGTTTTTAATATTGTTCGTATTATGAGCTTTGATACAAAATTTGTTTAATGCTTTTTTAATATTGTAATTTATTATTTGAATTTTAATTTTGTTCCTTTTAATATTTTAAGCTCCTTGATTCCTTTAGGAGTAAGGCAGCAGATAAATATTATAAATTAAATTAAATTTTAAAGTAAATAAATAACAGAATATCTGACCATTGACCATAATGGTTGTTCCATCTTTTCTCTTGTTTACTGCCTTCCTTCTTAGACTAAAGAACTGAAAAGCTTTGGTAAAACTGGGTGTGCTGCAGCAACACCAACAGCACAAATGTATACACAAACAGGGATTGCACAAAGTGGCACATTTCATATCACCTATGGTATCTTTCTTTCAGCAATGACAGATGTATTATTAGAGTCCAAACCATGGAAAAGGCACCTTTTTAATTACAACTTCTAGAATATCTATACTGGTTGGGGTTTTCTGTGAGTACCAGGCCAAAAAAGTAAGGTTTCCAGGCTCTGCATAGAAGACAGTCAATGGTCAAGGCTGCAGCAAAGCTATAGTTCAAAAGTAACATAACATGTAAGAACATTTTTAATAGTTACTTTAAACATTTACATTTAAGAGCATTCTAGAAGGAGTCCGACAAGACTTTTTCAGGTGTTATGCCATTCTTTATCAATTTTAAATTTTGTCCTCCCCCTCCCAAAAATTCAAATAGTAACAGAACAATAATAAGGAAAGCAACCAGCAATATAACTAGTTACTTCCACAGTACATAACAGCGGGCTCCTTTGCAAAATTACTTTATAAGCACTCAACCTCACTCCATAGTGAACGCCTCTTCTAGAAGTAGCCGTCAGGGATAAGGAGCTTAGGGGCCAGAATGGCTAGAAAGAAAGCAGTAGCTTATGGACCTCCATCCAATGTATAGAACTAGTTTCACTGCCTGCTGCTCATGCATTCAAGTTCTGTCTCTCAGAGCAACCATAAAGATGATAAAGCACTCTACTATCCCTATAGTTTTACTACAAGATTCCCCAAACAATAAAACCCTCCCATTCTTCTACTTCCAGTTAGAAGTTCATTGCGCATGAAATTTAATTCCCTTCAAATGGCACAAAAGCTGCTTTTCAAATACTTGGCCACAAGATGGCAGTATTAACCTTATCAACCAATTAACCAACCCGCAGAGGAGGGGGTGTGCATAAAAAAGCTATGTTTCATTCTCAATATAGTATCAGAAAGTGAAAGCCAAGAATTTAAAATGATCATACCAGGAGTGGTGCATCCTAAAACAAACATTCAGGATGTGTTTTGAGCACTTGCAAATTAGTGTGAATCTAAAAAGAGTATTATGCTTGCACAATCCCCCTTTAAAGTACTTTCTACAGCTGTTTAACAGTATTAGACACAGTAAAAGCAAATATTAAATACACATATTTTGAGAATTTTCTGATAAATGGGTCGTTTGGATTCTTGCATTGAGCAGGTGGTTGGACTCAATTGCCTTATAGGCCCCTTCCAGGTTAGGCATCCTTCAGTCTCGAGAGACTACGGTAGCGTGCTCTGTATGAGTGTCGGAGAGGCCCCTTCCAACTCTTGGATTTTTCTTTTAGAAGACACAAGTGGGGAAATCTACAGTAGTCTATTAGACCTACGTTGATTAAACGGTGCTCATTCTTTTGGTTTGCAACCTGTATATTGGCAACCCTTTAGAAAGTACACAGAAGTGGTTTGCCATTCCCTTCCTTTGGGGGAACCTTGGGACAGCTTGTCCAAAGCCACACAGGCTGGCTCTTTGCCCAGGATTCACAGTGAGGGACTGAACCCCCAGCCTCTGGCTCCACTGCCAGATATCTATCCAGCCAGCTATCTATCTTCTAGCACCATCTAATAATGCTGAGATGAACAGGGATCAGAATGTAATGATTCACTGGCAAGTGGCTCACTAGCACTGTTAGAAACACTTCTGGGTAATTTAATAATTAGCCTTAGTGCAAGACAGCGGACACGTACTGTTTTTTTATTGTTATGAAAGAGAATTATTTATTAGAGGACGTTGATGACTACATTTTTATTGGAAAGCAATGGGGAAGGCATTTGGATAATTATTTGTCTTGCAGCAGAGTAACCTGATAGCATTTGTGTACTGTGACTGAGACAGATAGGAAAAGCATTGGCAGCTCTGCTTCAATCCCTCCCCCCAAAAAATCTTGAGCTGGCCCCACATAATATGATTTCTCCTGACATTGGCAGCTATACTTCCCAACGGTTTATGACTGTTAACAATATCCTCAATCTACATCCATTTTTAAAGCTACAAACTGTCCTATCTGATAGGATCAGCCTTATTCTAAGCAGAAGCCTGCTGACCTGTACAATGGCTTTCCACTGCACTGGTCTCTTGAAAATGGGTGAAGAGGACAGCATTGTCCTCCAAGATACCCGCATGGCTCCACCTCACAGATATCCCATTAAGTCCATTTCTCCTAACTTACAAGCCTATGTTCTACCCAGACCTCTTGCCTTCTTTATTCTGTTGCCACGTCTGGTTACCAAATGGTTGCTTTTTCTCACTCCTACCTGCCGTTCTATCCAACATTTCTGTTCTAGTCTCACTTTACTGACTGTCCTAGTCATATTTTATTTATTTGTACCGCATATTTTCCACAATGCCTTCTACTCAGAGCAATTCATAAAACAAATAAATACAATATAACTATCATTATAATGACAAAAAAGCTTAAACCTCTGCTTTGCAATCAGTGGCTGAAATTCTGTTGTGCAGCTATGCAAATGGTGTAACTTTTGCAAGCAAATTTTTAAACTCTTTTAATCTAGCAAATTAGTTTGCTTTGTTTTATGACTGGTTGCCAAGAAGTAAAAACAGGCTTCATTTGCAAGTTTGAATGTGTAGGCAAGAAACTGTGGAAGCCTTTTGCTGGATAAAAATGCTGTTGTCTGGTTGTAAACGCAAAGCTGCTGTCTTATCCTGTTTGACTTTCTCATGACTCTCATCCCAAACTTTCCCGGACCTGTATCTTCCACCCTACATGTGCTCAGATAACGATGCCCCAGTGCTGACGGCATGTATGAGCTTCACTGGTGTAACTTTTGGAAGCAAATTTTTAAACTCCTTTAATCTAGCAAATTACCGTATTTTTTGCACCATAAGACGCACTTTTTCTCCCCAAAAAACTGGGGGGAAACGTGCATGCATCTTATGGAGCGAATACTGTCCCCTCCATGCCACCATCGGCGACCATCGCTTGCTGCCCAGGCCTCTGGAGGCCTCAGCAGGCCCCGTGGGGGCCTCCCCCAGCGACCATCGCTTGCTCCCCAGGCCTCCGGAGGCCTCAGCAGGCCCCGTGGGGGCCTCCCCCAGCGACCATCGCTTGCTCCCCAGGCCTCCGGAGGCCTCAGCAGGCCCCGTGGGGGCCTCTCCCAGCGACCATCGCTTGCTGCCCAGGCCTCCGGAGGCCTCAGCAGGACCAGTGCTGACGGCATGTATGAGCTTCACTTCCTGTCCATGGTACTGATGCCATATGAATCTGTCTCCAGACAAAACTATGATATCAATAAAGATGTCAATGAATTAGTGATCAAAGAAAAACTGCTTCTGTTTTACATACCATATTCCTACCATTACTATTCTTGCAACATTCTCATACTAGGATTAAAAAACATTTAAGATGCCAAGGCAGTTTGGTATTGCACTCCTGGCCTAAACTTGGCATCCTGTATCATGCTGCCCTGAAAAAATCCTGATTCAACCACATTTTAAAGATGATGCAACAGCAACTAGGAAAGCACTCCGGGGAATACCGGAGCTCAAAGCAACCCTTCCTTCTGCTGGGGAAGCACTCCAGCCTGGCACCAAGAAGTAGTAGCCTAACAACTCGACCAAAAAGATCCATCTTGGGCATGGATTAGGGTAGGGCTGGAGCACATTTCCCTGTATATCATATGATCACTAGGAAACAGATCGTATGGGACCACTCCACAAGAAACCCAAAATGTGATCTATGCGAACACATCCGAAGAGTTTGAAAGCTTGTGTACTTTCTTCTAGGGAATATTAGTTTCACTCTAGGATAGTTCCTGTAAGCCACCACATTAAAACCTAGAAACAGGCTGTAAACTGACCCTAGCGTGGGCTGGCTTGCATCTAATGGCTGATAGCGGTCATAAGTATGTGAACATTAACTTTGGTGCAATAGCCAATGATTTAATGCAATGTACATGTACAAGCCTTCAGAGAAATATCTCCCCCCTCCACTCTAAAGGCAACATCATAAAATGCGCAGAAGCTTTGGAATTCATCCTTTTGAGGGGTGAGGAAATATGGTTGTACCCTCACAAGCACACCCCACTCCAATACAAAATATGGTGCCCTTTCTTTGTAACCAATGTCAGTAATCCCTTTCAACTCCTTGTTTGTTTGTTTGTTTGCTTTGTTGACATTCAACCCACTCCAATACAAAATACGGTGCCCTTTCTTTGTAACCAATGCCAGTAATCCCTTCCAACTCCTTGTTTGTTTGTTTGCTTTGTTGACATTCATATGCTGCCTTTTTTCATGCAAGCTCAACAGGACACACGTGGCTCTCTGTCTCCCCATTTCATCCTGATAAATACCCTGTGGGGCAAGCCAGCCTGAGAGACCATGAGTAACCAAAAGTCACATCCAAGTCGAGGCTGAATGGGAACTTGAACCTGGATCTCTCCTATGCTAATTTAATCATTCTAATGACTACACCACACCAAGTTTTCTTTACTTATAGTGACTGAAACTTTTAGGATAACTGGAAACTAAATTTCATGTTTCATCCTAGGGTAAAGATGGTATGGAATTTAGAATAACCATGTTAACTCATATCTTGAAAGAAGTTTCCCTATGCTCTCTTAAAAAAACTTGCATTTTCAATGAATTATTTCATGAATTCTGTGAAAAAAATCAGAGTGTATCTACCTCTTCATAAGGACCACAGCCTGAAACAGTAATACTTGGTCTGAAATTTCGCAAATCCACTTTCTTCTCCAGTCTAGTATTTAGGTCTTCCATAGAAGCCTCCGAGATTATTAAGAGTGGGCCACAGTCACTATACGGAACCTGTGTTGCAAAGGTACAGAATATTAGAAATGTCAAATAAAAATACAGTAATTAGCAGGTTGCTCGTATACCTCTCAGATACTTCCATTAGAATGGTATTCCACAGCTCTGGAACTAAGCAGATTGCTCAAGGCCCACAGGTGGTAAGGAATGTAACTCCATCAGACACAGACTCTCTGCATGATCTTGTACAGCCCCCTTCCAGGGAAGCACACAGTCGAGATTCAAACTTCTAGCCCATCGCTCCATAGTCAGGCATTCCAACCCACTGAGTCCTAACAACTCTAAATAGCACATTTAAACAAAGTTTTTAATATTACAACATCTCTCTATTAAAATCCATTCTGTACAGTCAGTAATTCAGCAGAAGCCTGACTGAAGATCTCTGCCTGCCAGTAGAAGGACAACAAGGATGTGGCCAGTTTGCCCTTTTATAAGAGAGAGTTCCATAGCCTGGGAGCATCGACCAAAGAGGCCTTCTCTCATGCCCTCCCTAAACATGCCAACTTCCAAAATCTTAAAATCTGGGCAGGCTCATATGGGAAGATACACTCTTTTAGTTAGAACTGTAAGACAGCTCAATGGCTTAGAGATCTGGCTGGTGAGCCAGAGGCTGGGAATTCAATTCCCCACTGTGCCTCCTTGACAGGGGCTGGACTCAATGATCCATAGGGTCTTTTCTACCTCTATAGTTCTGGGATGAGGATTAGGATTAAAGATGTCTACATGCTATCTCTGAAATCAGAAATAATATACCTGAATATTGGTTGCAAAAGGGATATGATCTACAATAACAGCCTGTGACTGCATCACAACATTCAGCAGAAATCTGAATTTTCATTGCGGGATCTCCCCAAGATATTTGGTTGGCTACTGTGGGAAGTAGGATGCTGGATCAGACAAATATCTGGTGGGTTTCACAGGTATCCGCTGTTCTTTAAACTAGCGATGACTTCAGTTCAGGACTTGTAAATATTGATTTTTGGACAAACACTTTTTCCAGCCGATATGCCCATGGGCTAAGCCATCTAGGTGAATATGGGGCTTGTAGCCAAGAAAATTAACTTTCCTGACTTTGGTTTCAGATATAAAGAGGAGGCAAGATTTTTTTAAAAAAGATAAGGAACAATGCATCTTCATAATAAAAAATAATTCTCAAACCTCATCAGTAGGTCGAAAAGGCGTCTTAATATTTTCACATTTTCTTGGTGCCATGTTGGTCTCAAAATGCACCAGTCGATATGGTTGTGAATTCAAGAAATTAGTGAACCAATGAGCTGCCTCATCACCACAGTCCCGCCCTTCAATATCAAGGCTAAACACCCTGTTGAAGTTTACAAAATAAACCAAAGAGTTACATGATAAATAATCCTCCAGGTTAATTGTATGTTACCAGGATAATGAGTATTCAAAGTGATATCCTATCTTTTCCCAATAGTCATGAAAAAGAGGTTACTAGACCCCGTGCTTGGTATTTAAGATACTATAAATAAAACTCTTAAATTGTAGAGGCTTTATAATTATTGAGACTTAAGGCTGAATAAAACCACTGTTTTTGAAAGAAATTAATTACAACTTTGTTACTAAATATACATAGATTAAAAGATCTTCAGAGGGGGTTTCTATGTGGTAAAATTGCACATATTTTGTAAAACAAGCACATCACCCCCACCCCCACACCCCCACACCTGTTGGTAAGGTCCACAAAGATCATTTAAACTGTTGCCATTCAATCAATTTGGGGTGGGCCAAGACATTTTGTTAACTGAAGTAAAGGACAATGGCTTGTTAACATGGTTTTCTATTTGTGTCCTTCTGCAGTACAGCCGGCCCTATTCTTAGGCAAAGTGGGTGGTTGTGAAGAAATCACAGTCCCTTCTTATGTGCCCTAGAAGGCTGAAGGTGCCTTTTCATAGTCAAAATATGAAGCAGTTGGCTGTATTGGGAAAGGAGGGGTGCTGCAAGAAGCAGCTTTCTGCAGTCAACATTTCTATTTAAGGTGAGTTTGTGGCAAACTTCAGATATGGGGAAAACCTGGAGCTGAACCAGAGCTGAGTTCACAGATCAACAGAGTGAAGCCATCTTGGCATGTGGGCTTTATACTGTTCATCATAAAAACAATTAAACTATCTATCTGTGTAGCCATTTGAGTATCATCACTTGTTTTTCAGGAGAAAGATTCTAATATAGCACAAAACAGTTTGTCTTCCTTACTGTGTTCTTGAGAGATACCATCACAAACATTTTGCAATCCACACAATAACACGCTGGTTCCGAAGAGGTTTATTGACTAACCAAATCTGTCATAAAAAAATTAAGCGGTATATACAAAGAAGACTTGGAACAACTCAGAAATTTTAAAAAAGACACCTGCAATTCTTCAGTGGATTTTTCTTAGGGAGTTTTACAGGGATGGTCAGTTCCTTCATCTCTGGAGCGTTCAAGATTAAGTGGCCATTTTTTGAATTTACAGTAATCAGAACCAGACGAGGTTCCTGCCGAGCAGTGACCATGTGTCCATCTTCCTTAATAACAAGCCAAAACCTATGGTTAAACACAGAAAACCATGTTAATCTTTTAGAGTAGACGTAGTCTAGAGGGGAAGTATGATCTGACCTTTAAAAGTATACTCCCCCCGGTGTACGAGATGTTAGTTGGTTTTCCTATTTACCAAATTTGGGTAAAAAGTAGGATTAGAGAGTTTCACATGCCGTTAGACACACTCTCCTGCTCATCCTCCTTTACAGCTGAGACTCTGCCTTTGCTCAGGTGATTTCTATTTACCATATTAGGATTGGAGATAGAGAGAGTATTTGAGAACGGCGCGCGGTCCAGGAAACAAAGGCTTCAGCAAGACATCCAAAGAGAACGCACCTGAGTTTCCACACAGAAGTCAGGAGTTAAGTATGCACTTTATGCTGAAAGGAGAATTCTCCATTAATCATGTGGTCCCACATTCCTGGAACAACAGGATTAACTGAGAATTCCCCTTTGGAATTTTAGATGAGCTTCTGACCCTAATCTCAAATTTTCCCTGTAAATCCCACCCACCTACTATTTCCACAATGGGTCCTTTCAAAGGTGGGAACAAAATTTGAAGAGAGTGAGAGTGAGAGTGTGTGCTAGATTATGGGAGTGATAAAGGCTTAGCTACAGCACATTTTCCTGGGGAGGTCTTTCTCTACAGTGGTGCCTCGCTTGACGATGATAATCCATCCCAGCAAAATCGCTGTAGAACGAAATTGTCATCAAGCGAAAGTAAAAAGCCTATTAAAATGCAATGAAAACCACTCAATGCGTTCCAATGGGCGAAATACCTCAGTGTCCAGCAAAGATCCTCCATAGGGCGGCCATTTTCCGGTGCCTGTAAAGTGAAAAATCCCCCCTAAACACAGCGGGGAGCCATTTTGAACAGTGGACAGCCATTTTAAAAACCCGACAATCAGCTGTTTTGATCGTCGTAAAGCGAAAAATTGGTTCCCGAAGCACAGAATCGATCATCATCAAATGGATTTTCCCTATTTAAACATCGTTTTGCAGTCGCTATTGCGATCGGAAAAACCTCATCGTTAAGCGATTTCGTCATGAAGCGGGGTAATCGTTAAGCGTGGCACCACTGTATATCAGAACAAAACCAATTAATGTATGGATATAATACATGCAAAGATCTCACATGGTAAGATTGGGAGTTGTAGAAACTTTAATTTTGAAGCTCTAATTTTTTCCTGTATCCACAGTTCTGGATATAAAATTCAAATTCTATCCAGAAAGATATTTGTCTCTCTTTTTGGCACCTATCATGTAGCAAAGATTATTCTATTTAAGCAAAGATGTTTCATTTCGTTTGAAAAAAATGCCTTTCTTTTTATTCACAGCGTTATCTGTTAATGAGGAGCTGTTGTTGTTTAGTTGTTAAGTCATGTCAGACTCTTCGTGACCTCATGGACCAGAGCACGCCATGCCCTCCTGTCTTCCACTGCCTGCTGGATTTAGGTCAAATTCATGTTGGTAGCTTCGGTGACACTGTCCAGCCATCTCATCCATCCATCTCTTTCTTGCATTTCCTTTTCTTTGGGATGGTTTTTGTTGCTGCCTCTTGCACAATGTTATGGGCCTCCATCCATAATTCTTCAGGCATTCTGTATACCAAATCTAGTTCCTTAAATCTGTTCTTCACTTCCACTGTGTATTCATAAGGGATTTGGTTTAGATTATACCTGATTAGCCCAGTCGTTTTTCCTACTTTCTTCAGTTTAAGCTTGAATTTTGCTATAAGTAGCTGATGATCAGAGCCAAAATCAGCTCCAGGTCTTGTTTTTGCTGACTGTATAAAGCTTCTCCATCTTTGGCTGCAGAGAATATAATCAATCTGATTTCGGTACTGCCCATCTGGTGATGTCCATGTGTAGAGTCGCCTCTTGTGTTGTTGGAAAAGAGTGTTTGTGATGGCCAGCTAGATGATGAGCTATATCTCCTTAAAAATAATTTTAACCTCCCCCATAGGTTTTTAAGAAATGTTCTTGCTTTACAGGGGAAAGTTACAACACAGGCCTTTTACTAAATAAACAATAAATTGTTATTTAATTAATTCTGATTGCATTTCGGTTGCAAGGGAAGGAGAAAGGCACTTGCAATATTTTATATTTTACGGATCAAAATAGCTTAGCTGGCTTGGAATACTAGGTGTCTTGCCGCGGGGGTGTGTGTGTTGGGTGTCGATATTCAGGCCACACAAAGGCTTGGCCTGGCCCTGCCTAAATCTGGCTCATTTCCAGGCCCGCATTGCCATATGAACCAAAGGGCGAGTCAAGGATCAAAGGGCAAGCAGTATCATGTAGTCTTTGGGAAGTCAACAGGCCTCAACTAGCATATTAAGAAAGCTACATTGCTTTCATGACGGCAGCCACAAAATGAAAAGACGCCTGCTTCTTGGGAGGAAAGCAATGAAAAACCTAGACAGCATCTTAAAAAGCAGAGACATCACCTTGCCAACAAAGGTCCGCAGAGTCAAAGATATGGCTCTTCCAGTAGCAATGTATGGAAGTGAGAGCTGGACCATAAAGAGGGTTGACCAACAAAGAATTGATGCTTTTGAATTGTGGTGTTGGAGGAGGCTCTTGAGAGTCCCCTGGACTGCAAGGAGAACAAACCTATCAATTCTGAAGGAAATCAACCCTGAGTGCTTCACTGGAAGGACAGATTCCCAAGCTGAGGCTCCAGTACTTTGGCCATCTCATGAGAAAAGAAGACTCCTTGGAAAAGCCCCTGATGTTGGGAAAGTGTGAGGGCAAGAGGACAAGGGGACGACAGAGGGCAAGATGGTTGGACAGTGTCACCAAAGCTACCAACATGAATCTGACACAACTCCGGGAGGCAGTGGAAGATAGGAGGGCCTGGCATGCTCTGGTCCATGGGGTCGCGAAGAGTCAGACACGACTAAACAACAACAACATTGCTTTCCGCGCTTGATTCACAAGACTTTAAGAAAAATTCTAACCTGAATGGCTGAACAAAGCAAAACACTAGTCACCAAACACACGCACACAAAGAACATGAACGGGGGGGGCGGGGGGAGAGACGGGAGCCTCTTCTCATTTCTCCTACTCAGCTTTAAAAGGAACAGGGGAAACCGTGTCAGACTAGGACTGAGCAGTCGTGGGTTCGAATCCCCTCTCATCCAGGAAAGCTCACACGGCTGGGGTGGTGGGAGCTGGTAAAACCATTCCTTAAATATACTGTATTTCATGGCTTGGAAAACCTGCTAGGGCCGCCCATGCTCACAGGCACGCCTCTGGACTCGGAAACTTGCCCTCCCGCGGTCGGGGCCGCTCTAGACCCGCCGCCCTGTTGTATAATCCGCACACGCTCCCGCCTTCCTCTTCGTACCTGTCCCGCAAGTCTCCGCTCCGGAGGCCCAGCTTGGTCACCTGGGCGCTCTCCACGTGGAACCCCCGGCAAGACTTCACCGGGTAAAGGACGACGTCCGACACGGTCCCCACTCGCACCAGCTGCCGCCGGCTTCGGCGCCCACGACGCCATTGCCAGGCCGCGGTGGCCCCCAGGGCCACAACAGCGGCGGCCGCCGCCGAGGCCCAGAGCCAAGCGAGGCGAGAGTGAGGCAGCGCCGGTACCGGGAGCCGAAGGAATCCGGCAGCCATGGCTGGAGAGAGGGCCGTGTGTCCCGCCGCCTCGATCACTTCTTGGAGGTGGCCCTGGGCGAAGGCAGCCTCCTCCCTCCCTCCTTCCTCTGCCAGCTGGCTCGCTTTGCAGCCTTTCGCCCGTTGCCATTGCGACGAGGGCGCCCTTTTCGACCCCGCGATCCTTCTGGCATGGGCTGGCGTTGGGAGCAGAATGCTGTTTTGCAACCCCGTCCCCTGGTTGCTCCCGGCCCTTTTTCTTGCCTGCAAAAAAGCTGCAGCAATCTTGTCAGTCCACTTCAGAAGACTACTGTACCTAGATACTGTGTAATTCTGACACCAGCCTTTAATACAACGGCAGTGTGCAAACCAAGCAGTATCGGTGTCTTTTTGCAGTGTATCCCAGTTGTGTGTGTGTGTGTCGCAGGGGGGAGGGGTTAGATCCGCATGGTTTTAATGCAAGCGCGGGGGGGGGTTAGATCCGCATGGTTTTAATGCAAGATCATTCCCAAATTACTCCCCAGTTCCACTTCCTCTGTTGTGGAACTGCTGTGAGAGATTAGAAGGTACGTTTATTTGATCAGGCATGTACTCTGCAAAGAACTATTAATTGGGGGGTGGGGGGAGGCTGCTTGCCAGGTCTCAGAGAAATGAGCTGCTGTGCCAGGAAATGGCGGTGCTCCCCTGAATCTCCAAGCTAGGAAGATAAATCCAAAGGCCCGTGGGGGAAGGGAAGAAACAACTCTCATTTATTGTTATGGGGTGGCTAAACTGCTTGGTACACAACTACTATTCTCTCCAAATTGGCGCCAGGGCTCACTGGCTTTCTGTGGTTGTCCAGCACTAAACTGCTTAGGAGCTCAGACAGGGAAGCCCCAATGCCTAGGCCACTCCTACACACATGCATGGAGAAATATGTTCCCACTGTTGGAGAGGCCCCTGCCTCCTGTGACATCACAAGGCCCCACACCATAACTTCACAAGATCCACCCCAGGCATTGGGCCCCAGATATGAGGGGATGGGGAAGATCGTCCCATGACAGCCCCTGACAAACAGGACAACACTCAAAACTATTCTTGAAAAATACTTTTATTGCTTTTTGAAACGAGGTTTAACGGGTATCCCGGGTATTCCGGTCCTCAGCGGAGACAGCCAGGCTCAGCTCCAGCAGGACGCCTGGCTTCTGGTCCCTCGCATCACCCTGGAGAAGAGGAGGCTTCTGGCCCTACAAGAGAGAGAGAAAAAAACAACTAAGGGGCGAGCTCGTCCACTGGCTGTCAACCGGCTCCGAACCAGACGTATCCACCGACCAATGTTCGGGCAACTTCATCCCGAAGTTCCGCCTGTCAACTTCCACTGGCTTCCACCAGGAATATCCACCCGTTCATCTCTTCCACTCCGCTTCTGAAGCCGGCCTCCGCCAGCTCCCGAATGCTTGGGTCACACACACTCCCCAGCGACATCCCCACGGAATATCAGCCGGCTCTTTCACACACACATTCACACACACATTCACACACCATCCAGCCCCCCCGACACACACACACATTCACTCCCCCTCCGAGACACGCCCGGGCTTCCATCCACCGATATCCACACAGCTTCCGCCAACTGGTTTCAGGAGGCCAACTTCCACCAGCTTCATCCGCCCACATCTGCCAGCATCCGCCTTGCGACTTCAACCAGCGTCCGCGGGCAGATTCCACCAGCTTCTGTCTGCCAACGTCCACCAACTTCCCTCCGGTCCATCGCCCGACATCAGCCAGCTTCAAGCCATGGATCTCCGCCAGCATCGAGCTATGAACTCGCAAGCCCACTTAGCAAGTTTAGAACTTGCCTTGGGCAGAAGGGCTGGGTCCCCTGCAGCAGCAGCAACAACAGCAGCAGCAGCAACAACAGCAGCAGCAACAGCAGCAACAGCAATAGCAGCCTCCGCTCTCTCTGCTGGACTGCCCTCTGGCCACTCGCCTCCCTTCTGATCTCCTGCCCTGCCCAGCAGCCCCTTTTATATGCCAGGAGAGAGGTGGGGCCCCTGTGAGGTCACAAAAGACCCAGGAGGATGTAGTTGGGTTCCCAAGGCAGCAGCAGCAGCACCCCCCTCGGGATTGGCTGAGTCCTGGAGGTGATGTCAACAATGCCTTTGATCATGTGATTCAATCACAAAAGCTTGCATTTTATATTTTATATTTTTTTATTAGTGGCCTATAAATGTATCACCTGTCTCTGATCTTTAAATTGTCATAGATCGCAAGCTAAACATGAGCCAACAGTGTGATGTGGCTACAAAAAAGGCAAATGCTATTTTAGGCTGCATTAAAGAACCTTGCAGGATTTGTATAGTTCTCAAAATCCTGCAAAGTTCTTTGTTGTTGTTTAGTCGTTTAGTCATGTCCGCCTCTTCGTGACCCCATGGACCAGAGCACGCCAGGCCCTCCTGTTTTCCACTGCCTCCCGGAGTTGGGTCAAATTCAAGGTTCTAGTCCCCCTCTATTCAGCACTGTTTAGGCCTCACCTTGAGTATTGTGTCCAGTTCTGGATACCACACTTCAAGGATGCTAACAAATTGGAACAAGTTCAGAGGAGCGTGACAAGGATGATCAGGTGGCTGGAAACCAAGCCTTATGAGGAAAGGCTGAAAGAACTGCCCATGTTTAGCCTTGAGAAAAGAAGACTGAGGAGTATCTGATCATGTGATTTGCCCAGAAAAGCTTGCATTTTGTACGATTTTTTTAAAAAAATTATTAGCGGCCTGTTAATGTAATCCCTGTCACCAATCCCTATGATTATTAAATCTCCCCATGTTGGCCTTCTGACATGATTCTAGGTTGGCACTCTAAAAAGTTATCTTCCAGCATCTGCACCAAAAAGAACTTTCCTATACTCTTAGCTAAGAAAAATTTTGAAAGTAATCAATAAATGCTGATGCCATCATTGGCCTTAAGTGGCATTAGGTTATGGATTCCAGGCAACAAATTTAATTATTATTGCTGCTTGTATACTGGTGTTTCCTTGTCTTGGCTAATTGAAAGGTGCCAAGGAGTGTCTGGGTCACATTCCCTCTTCACATTCCTGATGCAATTAGCCATGGCAAGTTACAGAAACCTTAAGCAAGTGTCAATAGGATTCCAGCTAAAATGTCTTTAAATAGAAAGTGGTTCCTTTCTGTCTTCCAGCATGGAGCAAAAATACTTCAGACAGTCGAGTAGACATCTGTTTATCTCAGTCTGGACATACCTTCTATACTGTGTTTTCCAGTTCCAACATCACACCCAGTGTGGAAGTGTGCACGTGTACAGTATGTTATGCATATTCATACCAATTGTTTTCTTACCAAAATGCTAAAATCAAGTTATACACCCACCCGTACAAAAAGAATATGCTATGAGGTCTGAAACTCCCAAAGTAATAATCATATAGGCACATTCAGAATCAACACCTCTGAAGTTATACACTGTGTTGAATTGTCCATCACCACAAAAGGTGTCCAGATAATAGATGGCATTCCTCAAAGTGAGCCGTTCACTGAAAAATGCAGTGCATGAAATTATTTTCAAGGTCAGCAGACTATCACAGTCCTAATTGAATAATCACTTTATGTTGCCAATGTATACAGATTGTGGAATTGCTCCCCTAATATGAATAAAAGTGGTTTAATAAAACTAAATCCCATTAAAGAATCTTGTTGGGTTAAATTGCATATGTCAACATGCTGCTAACTATTGAGTTGCTAGTTACACATATCGGGCGTAAATATAAAGCCATCAGACATGGTTTGCCAGTCCCTCCTTCCGCTGGTGCTGTAGGATCATGTACAGTGGGGTCTTGACTTAAGAACGGCTTGAGTTAAGAACATTTTGACTTAAGAACCACTCTCATAGGAAAATATTGACTTGACTTACATACTTAGATTTGAGTTAAGACCTGAAAAAAACCACGTGGGAGGCAGGGAAAGTGCAAAATTTGAACTTTCAGTTAACTGTTGGCCAGTGAAAAGGGTGCCTGTCTGCTTCCTCCCTCTTCCCAGCATTTAGAGAGTGGATTGGGAGACAGTCTTCAGACTGCCTGGTACTTGTACTGCCTGGACTGTATTTTCCCTGCCTTCCCTGAACCTTTCTTGACCTAAGAAAAAAAGAAACAAAATATCCCCTCCAGTGGTCGAAGGCGGAATAGCAGCTTCCCATTAGTTTCGATGGACGGAAAAGAGCAGATACGGATCAAATGGTTTTCAATGCATTCCTATGGGAAATGCAGATTTGACCTGAGAACTTTTTGACTTGAGAATTGCCTTCCAATACGGATTAAGTTCTCAAGTCAAGACCCCACTGTATCTTGCTGCAGGCTACATAGGCTGCAGAGCATATTACTAGGATAGCAGAGAAAAGGAGGTTACTTATGTGTAACCACAGTTATTTGAGTGGTCCTCTGTAAATTCACACAAATGGGGATGTTCTGCGCCTGTGCTGAACGTCTCAGAAGATTCTAGAGCTTAAAAGTACATGATTAGTGAGACATTCCCCTGTGGGGCACGTGCTCCGCCCACCTAAGATTCCCCTCAGTTCCCTTTTTCCGCCCAGCCGTTCATAAGTATCTCCAGAAGAATTGAGTGATTTCATTGAGCAATCTAAATTGATATTTCCGATTCTGATCTACACTTCAAATCTACCACTTTTACTTTCCAATGAGCTAATTGATGTTCCCCTGTGAGTTAGCTTTGCAGGGCATGTTACTAGTACAGCAGAGAACTGGATACATAGTCCCCATAAAGCATGCCGCATTAAAATAAAAATCACAAAATTTGATGCAAAAGTCGTAACCCCCATATATAGGTGGATGTCACCAGAAACTGACATATGAATGGGAGCCTGCAACATAGCTAATTTAGATGTTACACCACTAGGTTTCTCCCATAGCCCATTCACAGCATTCAGTGAATGTTCCTCAGTTTCCAGACTGAGGACAAATCTCATGATACTCAAATCATTTTTACTTTATCCACTCATACGCCATTGCAATAATGCTGTTGTTAAGGCTGTAATAAAGAATGCAACTGTGTGTTTATTATTGGTCCTCAAGTTGTTTCCAATTTATGGTGTCCCTAATAGGCCTTTCAAGGTTTGTGAGTCATTCAAGAATTGGTCTACCATCACCCACACCCCCGCAGTGAATTTCTGTGGCCAGAGGTATCAACTCAGGCCTCCGGAGGCATCATCTAATGCTCTGTCCACATTAATGCTCAAAGAATGCAACTGCCTTAAGTGGTTGACAATTAAGGTAAAGAGCATAAGATATTTAACACAGTGTTCAAATACTTGTGGCTAGTGGTTTGCTAATGTATTAACCAACAGGCGGGGGCAAGGGAGATGAACTGAAAATTGAGTTAAAATCTTTATCATTTTTTGTTAATTGCAGTGTTTTTAATGGGTCATAAAGGGCTCTGTATTTTACTTCAATTTATTTATTTATTTATTTATTCATTCATTCATTCATTCATTCATTCATTCATTCATTCAATTTATACCCCGCCCCCCTAGACAGCGTCTACTCGGGGTGGCTTACAAAATCATAAAATATCATTAAGTAACAATAAAAACAGCACAATCAAAAATAAACAACATTCATAATCGTAAAAACATTTGAACAATAATATAGCGTGATCAAGATGGGGGATAAAAACAGAAAGACAGAATTCAAGAATTGACAGGAGGGAAAGCCTGTCTGAAGAGCCAAGTTTTTAAATGGCTCTTAAAAACACCCAGCGAGGGAGCCAGGCGGATCTCTGATGGAAGGCCGTTCCATAGTCGAGGGGCCACTGTTCTTTCTTTCCGGGCCTCTCTCGGCGTTAGGCCCCTCAACCAACCCTCCTGGCTATGCTGAGTAATTCAGGTAGATCTGGGTGGGAGAAGGCAATCTGCCAAATACCAAGGTCCCAAACCGTTTAGGGCTTTATACGTCATTAACACTTTGAAGTCGATGTGGAAGTGGATGGGCAGCCAGTGTGGGGCAGCCAGAGTGGGAGAGATGCTGGTGTTTTCTCACCCCACTAAGAAGTCTGGCCGCCACGTTCTGCACCATTTGAAGCTTCCACATCAATCTCAAAGGTAGCCCCACGTAGAGCGCATTACAGTGGTCTAATTGCGAGATTACGACCACGTGGACGAGAATAGTGAGGGACCCCCCCCCCCATCAAGGTAGGGTCGCAGCTGGGCAATCCGCCACAGATGAAAATTTTAGAAAGTTTCCACATTTTTCCTGAAATAGGATTTTTTTCAGTTCTTCCTCTAGTTACAAAATAATGGGGTGCCATTCTCACTCCCTAGCTCAGGAACATTCTAGGGCCTGAAATGAGGAACTCTCTGATTGGGAGAACTCTTGATCCTTCCTTATTTTTCTTAATGAGTGAAGTTATTCTTCTGAAGAATTTTTTCCAAGTGGACTACAAAAGAGTCATCAATACGTTGGCAATGAGTGTCAAATCAACTCTTAATTTTATACTGAAATTCAAATTATTTTCACAATAATTTTTCTCTTGGAAGATTTGTAAGATGGAAAGCTGACAGCTTTTTTGAGCTCGGAAAAAATACTTTCCGAGTGTCCATGCAGGCTGAAGGAATCTAGGAATTAAAGTGTAAAAAAAGTAAAGTTTCCCTGCTCAGGAAAATATTTAACAACCGAGGTTTGAAACGGTAAAGGCACATTTATTGTCCAGGTATGTCCTTCTGTCCAGCTCACTTTATAACATTTAATTCAAGACTTCATTGGAAGTTCTCCCAGTCACCAAATGCAACGAGGATATCCCAGCAAAATATGTGCAGAAGCTCTTTTTGCAGAATATCGACAAGTATGTTTTGCTGCACAGATGTCTCCATCACTGGAATATCTTGTACACAGGGTCTCCAACTTTCAATATTCCAGTCTCTTCAACGCCATACAGCCATCCAAAGGGAGGACTAGATCTAAAGGCATGTTGTTCAGAAGGATCACACTCTCGGTAACTAAACAAAGACGGGGGAATGAAAGGCGATTAATGACAAAACAGAATATTCTAGCATCACATAAGTAATACACAAGAGAATTATTAAACGATTGTCAATGTACATTTTTAGAGGAATGAACATATAGTTTATTAACAGGGTTATTGGGGCATTTATTTGCTACAATATAACATTTCAGTGTAAAGCTCATAATGGTTTAAAAGCAAACCTATGCATGTTTTATAAACTTATGACTTATCACATAGTGACAATGTACTCCCTCAGTTAACGCTGGAAAAGCCAGTCAAACACACTGCATGTCCAATGCTGCAAGCCGGCTGATTGTTACAACACCATGAACTGCCGGGAATGCAGAAGAGGAAAAGTACAGAACCAGCACTGTTTTGCCAGTATTGCAAGGTTTAGAAATGTTATCAATGCTCTTTGAACCTGTTCAAAAGTTGCAGGCAGGTATTCGTCTCTCTTTTTTTTTAAAGACACAAAGCCTTGTGGTATTGCAAAATCTTGTAAAATATTTTAGCAATCGAGTTTTCCTGTTAAACTCTGATAAGTTGTGATTTAGAAATAAAAAAGAAAAGAGGAAATTCACCAATAAAGGAAGGAAAGAGGATATCTGAAAGGTGCATATGGATTACTTGATTAAAAGCTGAGACTATCACAAAAATGACTTGAGAAGTTATTCTGGAAAGTTCTGCTGGAGATTGATGAAGCTGATATGAGAGCATGTTGGGTCTTAAGCAATCAATCAGTAGGTAAATGCATATGTTTATCACTTGTTTTTGATTTGTCTGAATTGCAGTTGTGAATGTGAGAAGTAACTTTTTTAAAAAAATGTATTTAAGGTGCTGTGAAGTGACATGAATCTGTGATATTGGATCCATTTGCAAGTCAAGGCATCACTGACATTAAGGTCATCAAAGTGCTGAAGTGTAGGGGCGAACAAGCACAGCAACATAAAGATGGATAAAGACACTGTCATATATCTGCTACCTTTTTAGTGTTTTCAGTGGTTCCTTCTGATCCTTAATCCCAGTATCTGGATCAATTGTTGTGAAAATGCATCTGGAAGCAAAGAAAGCAATAACAGTGGACTTCTTGTTAACCTTACAATATCAATTTTTATTTCATCTTTTCTAATAAAAATTCTGAAGGTACCCTTAATGGGGTGAAATCAAGCAATTACTGATGTGAAGTTTGCACTTCTCCCTCTCTTACCTAGGACAAGACATTCTTCCTTTCAGCTGAACATTGCCAATTAATATTTCACCCCAGGTATCCTATAAAAAGATAAAACTACATATACAGTATGTATTTGCATTTAACTCAATACAACCCAATATTAACAGAAACATCAAGACATCTATAGTTTCCTTTCCAAAATCACACCTTCAACAGGGTCATACAAGAAAATTCTCTTAATAGTTCCTAACTGAAATAGTGCTTCGCTTTAAGTCACATAGGTACTTAGAGCTCTTCTCTGGAAAATACCAAGTTGAAAATGTATCGTTTTGAATAAATAAGGATTCATAATATATATTAAAAGAAATGATCATTACTTACTTCCTCATAAGGATTACAACCTGTAACAAGAATGTTTGGGCGAAAGTTTGTTATTGTAACTTTCTTTTCTAGCCTGGTATTCAAATCCTCCAAGGAAGCTTCAGAGATTATCAGAGTAGGACTGCCTTCAGCATAAGCAACCTAAAAAAATAAATGCAAAAAGATCTGCCATTGGTAGTGGCCACTCTCATCTATGTATAAATACGAAATAGGTCAGGTGGTCTCATGTGAAGCCATTGTACATTGATGTGCCAAAATCTAATCTTTTTAAGCAACACACAATTTTTCACTTGGCACAAGACCTCTGTAGAGCTTGAAAAACTTGCACTGCCTTAAAGATATATGTCAGATTTACAATGACCTTTTCTGGCCATTTTCTCCAAGAAATTAAACATAGGAGCACATAGGAGAAGATCTATTCCTAACTCAACAACAGGAGACTTGACTGCTAGCTTAAAGAAGACATATCAGTGACTAATAAATAGTATCTGTTGGTGGATCTATACATCTATTTATTTAAAGAATGTTCTCTACAAAATTACTGTCTGTGATATGTTTCACTGTGATGTGGAAATAACCTTGGGCTCTTGAATGGCATGTCAGTGGATAGCAAGATCAACAATGGATAGCAAGATCAACAACAAATATTGATAAAGTTCCCAATATGGCTCTGATGGGAGACTTTCTGTCTGGCATCAAGAACCAGTCTAACTAATGCTAAAATGTTCCTCACTAGAAGATTGGCTACAGGTGAAGAATTGGCCATAGCAACTAGGAAGATAACAAAGATATGGAAGGGAAAAAGTTACAGATAAGATAGTTTCAATCTCATCACTGGAGGAAGTACCTTATCCACACTAGTGTAGTCTTTCAAGCTATTAAAAGCTTATGCTAATTCCAGCTGGAAAGCATATGGTATAAATGTAAATATGTTTTCATTCATCTCCTAGCAAATGCTGTTAGATGCTGAAAATTTCATACAGTGCTTTCACAATGATCTGAAACAATGTACAATTACGTACTTTGTTTTTTCATCTATTAAATTTAATGGACCTTCCTTCCAAGCAAGCACACTAACCACTGCAGCCTAACAGCAGCATTCGTTAACAAGACTAAGTGCCAATACTTTAGCAAATAACAAATATATATATATGTATTTGAGAGGTACAGTCATCTTAACCTCATCTGTAGGTTGAAAATAAGGCAGGAAATCTCTTGGCTTCCTTGTCACCATGTTGGGTTCATAATGGGCCAGCCTGTAACACTCTGAGTTCAGAAAGGTGTTGATCCATCGAGATGCTTCCTCTCCACAATCCCTGCCTTCAGCCTGGATTCCAAACCGTCTAAAAGATCATGAGAGATGTTTCTGCAACTGTTCAAAAACTAGGCATTCAGTATACTATATACTACTACTATATGGGGGGGAGGGCAGTTTGGATTCCACACACCCCTATACAGTATTCCCCAAATGAGGCAACATCAAGGGAAGGAAAAAGAAAAGGGGTAAAGGCAGGATGGAGAACAGGAAGGAGTGGGAAGAGCTGGAGGAGATTATGGGGAACCCCTCCTCGAGGTTGCTAAGCTGTTATCCGATTCTACAGTTGCACAGCATGCTCTCCTGGATATGATGCAGCTGCTTCTGAGGGAAGAGTGGCTACCCATTCTTCCTCTTTCTCTTAGAGATAAAGAGCTAACTTCAAAGCCTTTCTTTGGCCAATCCTAATTGGCATTATGTAACCAGTACCCTATCTGAATTCTGTCAACTATCTATATACAGTACTATCAACAATTTGTTAAAGTAATAAGAAGGAGTCCTCCTGGGGGCGTTGCCAAGATCTAGGCAACTAGGGCTCCGCTGGCGGACATCTCTGTGTGTGATTGACTTCTTTAACTTCTCTCTCTAAGACTAATTGCTTTCGTAATTATCTGGTGATCACCTAAAACCATCAGCCTTTTACAGACCATTACAGGGGATGTGTTATCGTGTGGAAACTCTTGATTACACTGAAAGAAAGCGGACCAGATAAAGACTTTTGGAGTAAGTAAATCCAAATCAACGGAGGAAAAGTACCATGGTTCCAACCTGAATTGATCCAAATGACACACCTTGCCTGGTGCCAAGAGAACATTGCAGTAATGCTTTGCTGTATGTTTGGATTAGTGTGGCAATGGATAAAAAGAATAAAGACAAACTTCATTATTATGGAATGACAAAGGAAGGGAAAATAGCTATATTGCTGAGATAAGGAGGAGAAAGAGAATACTGAAAAATTATGTTTATGAGCAAAATTGCTAGATACAAATATTTTTGAAAAGGGAGAACTGATTCACTGGATACTTTTCAGGAACACTGATTTCCACTTAAGCCAATACAGGCCCAAAGTGTTACCAACATGGCTACTTTAACTATTATTTAAATTGTTTCAGATTTGTAGAGTGCTATTAATCCTAATATCTTTTCTCTCACTCAATTTTGTACTATTTTGTTATGTAAACTTAATATTCTCAAGACAGGTTGTGTCACAATTTTTAAATATTACTCTTCAGTAATAAAAGAAAAAATACTGTATAAAAATACTATGCTGACATTTTTATCTATTAGCTCTATATACAGTACTTAGAATATTATAACAAAGTTCATGCATTTTGAAGTATTTAAAAAATAAGGAGGAAGGAAAACGAAAATAGAAAACCTCAGTTATCCATGGAGCAATGAAGGAAAATCCTCCTTAATACCTGCAATTCCAGACTGAATTTGTTCTAGGGAGTTCAACAGGAATTTTCAGTGGCTCCATTTCTGGAGCGTTCAGAGTTAAACACCCATCTTTACAAGTTACCGAAATGAGCACCAAACGAGGCTCCTGCTTAGCAGATAACATATTCCCATCTTCTTTTATCACAGTCCAACACCTGAATAAGAAATAATTACAGTATTTTAGAAAGTTTCAATAGTTGTAAATCGCACTAAAAATCCAATCCCAAACACACAGCACACTCTTGGGGGAAAAAAACGCCCTGTAGTGGTTTTATTAACAAGATGTAGAGATACTGCGTTATAACTGAACCCCACTGTGCAATACAGAAAAAAAACTAGGTGTATGTCTTCAGAGAATTTTTACACTCTTCTTTAAGATCCTTTTCATTAAATCTCTTGTCCCCCCACCTCAATATATTGGATTCTGTTTCCGTTTGTTAAATCTCATATCCACATGAGGCACTCTTCAGTGTTACAGCTCAGGTCTCCATAATGTCCACAACTAGTGTATTAATGAGGCAGCAGCACTCAACTGCTGGATAACCTAGTGGTTTAGGTCTCTGGCTGCAGAGCCAGAGGTTGGGAGTTCAATTCCCCACTGTGCCTCCTTGACAGAGGCTGGACTTGATAATCCATAGACTCCCTTCTCTGCAATGTCTAAGATAAGTAATTGTTCTTATTTTGCTGTTCTGCATTTGTAAAGGTAACTCCCTGATCAGAAACAAGAGAAAAAAAAGGTGGGTGGGCATGGCATCCTGAAGGGAATGAGAAGTAAAGAAAGGAGATCATATGCAACCACTTCAATTGAAAGTCTCCTCAAATGAGGATTGGTAAAGGTAAAGGTTCCCCTTGACAATTTTTGTCCAGTCGTGTTCGACTCTAGGGGGCGGTGCTCATCCCCGTTTCCAAGCCATAGAGCCAGCGTTTTGTCCAAAGACAATCTTCCATGGTCGCATGGCCAGTGCAACTTAGACACGGAACGCTGTTACCTTCCCACCGAAGTGGTCCCTATTTATCTACTTGCATTTGCATGCTTTCGAACCGCTAGGTTGGCGGGAGCTGGGACAAGCGACGGGCGCTCCGTCATGTGGATTCGATCTTATGACTCCTGGTCTTCTGACCCTGCAGCACAGGCTTCTGCGGTTTAGCCCGCAGCGCCACCACGTCCCAAATGAGGATAGGGAGACTTTAATTCCCAAGCCTCTTGGCTAACATTAAAAACATTCTGGGCCATTACAACAGGTGGTGTAGAAGTTGTGGCTGAGACTGCAGCACCATACAATAGGGAGAGAAAAGATTCCACTCTAAGCACTTCCTTGAGTCATTGTAACTCATGTCCTTGAATATATTCCAAGCTTTCCTTCAGGCAGAAGAGCAAATCAACCTACCTTCAAGTCAATGTGCATAATATCCAAGACAGCCGCCTTGTTTTCTGCTTTCTTTCTGTGTGCAGTGGAATAGCAGTGGAATAGAGTCTGTGCTTTGTTTCCAGACACCAGAGGCTCAGGTTGTCCATAGCCAGACCATGTCTATCTGCCAGCCTGCTTAGCAGACACAGGGGGTCTTTGTGCACATGGATATGTGAATGTTTGCCTGCAAGCATCTTTCTCTCTCTTCTCTCTCATCCTCTCTCTCTGAATATCACCTTTTTGCCCTTAACCTGCCTACCATTGGTTGCTGTGCCTTCTATTCCACAAGTTACAAAGGACACCAACCACCCCTGTGACCCCAACAATATTTAAGTCTCAGTTTCTGCCTCTCTTGCACGTGCAGCTCATGCCCATAGACTATCCTTTTTGCTTTTTCCTGTTTTCCTGACTTTCTCCCTCTGAAGCTTTAAGTTAATTGCAGAGAAAGGAGTACTTTTCCAGGACAAAGTTATTTATTGATTCAGGCCAGCTGATGACTGTTTCCCAATTGCACAATGTGTGGATTACACAAAATAGCCAAACGGACACAAAACAGAATGAGCGGAAGGTCTAGCGCTTCTGTACAGCTGCACCTATATTTTTTGAGCCCTGAAACTCCTTGTCAGCCAGCAACAAGGTCTGGGTAAACACTGTTATTCTTCTTCAAAAGGGTTCTTTCATGACAGATCACAAGTTTTAAAAGCATAGACTAAAGTCACTGCTGGGGCCTCACAGGGATTAGGGGCTCTGAAATTTAAGCTTCATTAGCTGGATAGTAGATCCACTCCTGAGTGCTGGAGATACCTAGAAATCAAGCAGGCCACCCTCTTTGCAAAGATCCGTGAGAATACGCTGGTGATTCTTATGCAATTGGAAGGACATCTCCTGTCAGTTCCTGCTGAAAATAGACCTGAAGGGCGCATCACTTCAAACAGGTAAAGTGTTGGTTGGTTTGCTTCTTAAGAACACAGTTGGATACAAAATGTGAAGATGAAAAAGAGAAGAATGGAGCTGGAAACTGATAAACTTTCATGCCACACTCTTGGTGTCATTTCTTCTGAGTTGATCTCATATCACTTTCCAAGGGCAGGTTTGGTGTCCAGCAGCTGCAGGCTAAGAAACCCTTCGCTGGCCTTTGAATCAGGAGGTGTGTGGCTCCTTCCTTCCCCACGCCACTCTGCCAAACTTCAAAAAGGTAACTTTTTTGGACTACCGTTCCCAGATTTCCTCCGCCAGCATGGGAACCCGAGTTCTGAAAAGTAACCCTCGCAACAAACTCTGCATCCTTGCGCTTGGCCGAAGAGGGCGGACACCCGAAGTATCCCGGAGTCAGGAGAGGGGGTTCCTTTTTTGTCCTGTTTCAGACACGCGACCGTGTGTCCCCCGCCCTCTCCTCAACACACACACACACACGCACGCACACAGAGAGACCCCTACCTCGGCGCCCATAGCGCGCCATCGGAATTGGCGGGAGGGCTCGTCGCCCACTGCCTGCCCTCCTTCCCCTTCGCGCCGCGCTTACCTGTCGCCCAGGTCTCCCCTCCGCAGCCCCAACCTGGTCACCTCGGCCTCCTCCACGGCCAGCCCGCGGCAGGATTTGACCGGGTAGATGAAGAGACCCGACACCCTCCCCACTTGCTTCCAGCGCAGCCCGGAGCTTCGACGGCGCCGCCAGCGCCAAGCCGTGGCGACTGCCAGGGCGAGAGCCACCGCCGTGCAGACGCAGGCAGCCAACGGCGACGGGAAAGCGGCCCCCGGCATGCTCTTCACGCCGTCGCCCCTCGGCTGCGGGGAAAGGCTGCCCGCCCGCCCGGCTGGTGCCCCTCCGAGGTAGGCGGGTCCTCCCGGGCGCCGACCTCCGATCACCCGGCCTCGCCCAGAAGGCAGAGCCCGCTTCAGCTCCTTGCTTTTCCCTCTCAGTTTGCAACATAAATCCTCCCCTCTTTCAATAACTAGAGCGGGCATCGTGAGAAGGCTTTATACCGTAAAAATCCCGAGCGCGTTACTTTGCTGCCTTTCCCCTCCATAATCGTGGGGCGGGGGGGGGAGAGGCGACGGAGAGGGTCCCGTTCTCAGATTAAGGCAATCTTGTGTACCCTCAAGATCCAGTGCCAGATAGCTCAGGGCTTTAGAGCCACATGTTTTGAGACAATGTTGTGGGGTCTTTTTCAACGTGATTTGTTCTAGATCCTCCACACATCTTAATCCAGCCCTGCCCAGGGCAGAGGGAACAAGAAGGTAGTATGGAATGTCCTCGGCTGTCGCTGTCTTGCTAGTGCACCTGGCGGGGGCGGGGCATGTCCCCACAGACTGGGACAAATCAGCTGATCAAATTGGTCTGCCAGTCCTTCGGTATGCACACACTTATTTGGCAATAAATCGCATTCAGCTCAGTGAGATTTACTTCTGAGCAGACAGCTGCGTCATGTGTTTGCAAACTGGTGTGGAAACGACTGTTGGTAAGAATATAGAAATGTATAAATCTGAGTAAATAAAAATCCCAAAACCTCCACCCTCAAGATTTGACTGGATTTCAAAGGGGCATGGTTCACAGTGGTGTGGAAAGGGGTGTATGCATGTCCTTTACTAGGAACTAAGGTGTGAGATAGGATTAAAAGGTATTTATAGTATTGTTTTTTAATGTTCCTTTCTTCACATGGTCTAGGTCTGAATCCTTGCTTATATGCACATTCCCAGATAAAGATGCAAGGGAGAAAGAAAGTCTGTTCAAATGGGAAAAGAAGAAACTTGCCTGTAACTCTGGTTCTCCGAGTGGTCTTCTGTGAATTCACATTAGTGGGTTAATCTGCGCCTGAGCAGAGCAGTTTCGGAAACTTTCGCAGCTTTAAGCACTTGGTGCCAGGACCTCCCCTACACCAACTATATAACTCCGCCCACAGCACCTAGTGCCTCAGTTCCAAGGAACCGACTGCCACTGCCCAGCATGCACTGGCACACGTGACAGACAGCAGGGAGGAGGGCAGGGAGTGTGAATTCACAGAGGACCACTCAAAGAACCAGAGTTACAGGTAAGTGACTTATTTTTCTCCTTCGTGGTCTCTGTGAATGCACACTAACGGGGGATTGGTAAACTGACTAACCAGGAGAAGGGATGTCACGAAAGTGCAGAAGCCAGGACAGCTTGACCTAACACAGCCTGAGCCTTTGGACAGACATCCAGGTGGTAGTGCAAGATGAAAGTTGTGCAGCAAGCTCTGGAGTCACCTGGACCAACATGGATGGGTGGTCGCAAGATGTCCGAAAGAGTGAGAGAAACCAGGCTTGAAGGGACCACATCCTCAATCAAGCATGCTGTACCACATAATAATGGAAGGTGCTCACGGTAATGGAAGTTGGAGTGAGATGATCTTCTTTCCTGCACCCTTCCTGCCCTAAAACTGCTCCAGAATGCTGGGAACCCAGCTTCCAACCTGCTGTCTTGGTGCAGCCACAGCAGCAGTGACAAGCCAGAAAGTGCAACACTGCTGCAAAGAGCAGTTACTCATAGCTTTATGAGTAAGCCTACTTCCTAGGATTTGAAACTAACTTTTTAATTTAGCTATCACTTTCATCAATGAAAATAAAATTGGTTGTTGAAGTTCATTCTCACATCAACAGGTTTCATATACAGTGGTCCCTTGACTTATGAACTTAATCCGTTCCAGAAGATGGTTGTAACTCGAAATGGTTGTAAGTCAAAGCACCATTTCCCATAGGAATGCATTGAAATGCAATTAATTTGTTCCGGCCAAAGGAAAAACACACACACACACACACACACAAAACCCACTGCAAGACCAATCAGAAACACAATCCATGCAAAAAAAAGCAAAGGAAAAAGGAAACAAACCGTGCAAGACCCTTCGGAAATGCAAAAACAAAGCAGAAAGCAAGCCAAGCCTGCCAGACCCATTGGAAATGCAAAAAAGCAAAGCAGAATGCAAGCCAAGCATGCAAGACCCATCAGAAATGGGGGGTGGACCCAAAAAGCAAACAAACCCAAGACCCATTGAAAATGGGGGGAAACCCAAAAAGCAAATAAATATCCCAAGACTATCAGAAATGGGGGGAAAACCCAAACAAACCCCCCAAGACCCATCACAGCACAGAAACATAACCCCCCCAACCCAAAACCACGCTGCAAACCCCACCCAGAACAGTTTTTAAAAAGCAGAAAGCAGCACCTTACCTTACCAGGTAGTCCGAAGCCTCCTCTAATCACACTCACTCTAACCGTTGGGGCGAAAGAGCTACAAAGAAGCAGCCTCTTCGCCTACCAACGGTTAGCAATTTGAATTCCCCGCCTTTTTCCCCTGCCTTTTTTTGATTGTAACTCAAAGCTCCAGCCACAAGTCAAAGCAAAATTTTGCAGCCAGAGCTGGTTGTAACTCGAAATGGTCATAAGTCAAGGCACCACTGTACTGTAATAGGTACATAACAATGTTTTGAGTCTCTTCATTTTGTCAAAGCAAGATCTTAAAAGAATGATTATCTTGCCAGTGGTTTTAAACCTTCCTGAGTCCTATCTTATCACTACCTTACCTTGAGAGAAATCTATAATGTTCATATTGAGCCAATTTTAGTTCCTAGTTAACCGAAGAATCCTTACATATCCTTATATGGAAGTAAGTCCTGTTGAATTCAGTAAGGGCTAATTCCAGGAAAACATGCCTAAGATTGCAGCCTATAGCTGTTTTCTCTAAATTTATTGTACATTTTGTTAAAATAATAATTACAAAGAAAAGATACTACATTTACTCCAAGTGTGTAAGTTACAGACTCCACATTTTGAGTAAATTAAGTTTACCAACAGCTGTAAAATCCATTTTACAAAATGAGATTGTAAATAAACATGCATGGAATTTCTCTCCATTGCTTCAGTCTAATAGTTATGTGGCAAAACCACCTATTCAAATAATATTTCCCAAGTCAAATAATCTGCAAACAATTTTTATTATGTACCAATGTTTCCAACTTACAGTGACCCAGCCTTATAGAGTTTTCAAGACCTCACTGGTTCTTTCAATAATTAAAATTTGTGAACTTGCTGCTTTCTAAATTCCTTTTGAACAGAAACATGTTTTTCAAAAAATAGAGCATTAATTAATTATGTGCCATCAAGTTGGTTGTGACTTATGGCAACCCTTGCCAAGATAACCTGGCTGCAACGTACTGTACTCAGAAATGGTTTACCATCTCTCTGGAGTGCTGTAGGGCTGTGCACCTCTCCCAAGGCTACGCAGATTGGCTGTTCTCCCAGAAAGCACAGTGGGGAACCTCTGACTCTTCAGCTGGGTGTACCAACTCTGAGCTATTTTACCTATTCCAGACTAAATCTGAGATATTTTACCTATTCCAGACTAAATCAGTGAAGTATAAACTACATATTAAGGTTCAGAAATTTATTGTGTGGTTGGCTATAAATGTAAATATTATATTTGTTAATCAGAGCAGTATATGAAGCAGAAGAAAATACAGTGAGCAAAATCCTGTTGCATAACTACACCTGGCACAACTCAGACCAAGCATGAGACTTATTTAATTTACTTGAACTAAAACTTCCTATGCCCCTGAAAACTGCTGTCAGATTGCAGCAGCCAGGATTGCAGCCACTGCCACTGGTAGCCATTTTTTACTTTAAAAGTCCTCCCATGCCCCATCCTGAGGCTCCCAAATGCTTCCCCAGTGCAAAAGGATACCCTAGAAGCCTCAAAACCTAAAACTGGGGATGGGAAGCATTTAATTAATGTAAATTAAATGTTTCTCAATCTGAGTTACACCAGGCAAAAATTATGGAATAGAATTTTGTCCAATATGGATAGTGCTGCAATTTTACAAGATACTGAATATCTAACATTTTGTTTAAATCTGATGCAGTCAAACATAACTGTAATGACACTGAAATCAGTGCAACTTATTCCTAAGTAAAGTGATTATAACTGGGGTGTCCCAAAACATAACCCAAAACAACTGGCCACTAAAATGCCTGATTCCTTCTGCCTAATTTGTTTTACCTCCTACTAGGCTCCAACTAATTGTACCAATAACAAATTGAATTCTCTAAGGGGGACAATCCAATTACGGATCATTAGATAGAAAAGCCTGGCTTATTACTATTCTAATACAGTGGTGCCTCGCTTAGCGATCGCTCCGTTGAGCGATGAATTCGCATAGCGAGAGGGTCCGGGCCATCGCTGGAGCGTTCGCTCAGCAATGGCCCCTATGGCGTTTTTTCGCTGTGCGACGATCGCTAAGCGATTCGCTTAGCGATTTTCGCACAACGAAGCGGGGGAGAACAGCTGATTGGCGGTTCCAAAATGGCCACCGCAACTTTTCCCGCAAAGCGAGGACGCGAAAATGGCCGCCCCTATGGAGAAGCTTCGCTCAACGGTAAGTTTAGGGCCCATTGGAACGCATTAAACCAAGTTTAATGCGTTTTAATGGGTTTTTTTGTTCCGTTGAGCGATGTTCTGTATGCATATGCATAACTAAGCTACAGCCATTATTAGTGAATTTAAGATAGGAAATTTCCATTAGAAAAGAAGTTTATTATTTCATGTAGAGTTTTCACATACAAAATAAGCAATTTATTTTGAGAAATATTGGTATCACTAGATCATCTTGTATACAATGTCTCCAACTTGAATTGTTCCTGTTTTATCAACTCCAAAATACCATCCAAAGAGAGGATGCGATTTGTATATATGCTGTTCAGAAGGATCACACAGGCGATAACTGTAAAAAAGATTAAATCATAGTAAGTCACATACATAACAGTGTTTGTTTTGAGTTAAGCCATCTTTTCCTCTTTGGGAATGAAATCTTGTTCTGTTCTGTTTTTTGCTTTTAAGAATTTTTACCATATAAAGACTATACTACATGTCAGGGGTGGGCAATTAAATTCTATGGGGGGGGCACATAAAAAATTTGAACTGTGTTCAGGGGCCGAACCACATAAAAATTTTTGTGTTCAGGGGCCGAACCAACTTTACTTAAAAATAAAATGAAACAGTGATGTTATGATTGTTTTTATTTTAAACTTGTTAATCTTCACAAGTACTAAAGAGTTTTTTTGCGGTATGTTAAAGATAAGCAACTGATCAACTTTAGACAAAAAGCTATAAATGGATTTGATGTTCAAAACTGTCCGTGGGCCAGACAGCAACGGCTTGCGGGCCGCACTTTGCCCAGGTCTGCTATATGTGGTCATCTTCCAGTGTCTGCTTCCTTAAAATGATGTGGCAATTATCTGACCATTTCTATAACAGGAAAAAATGTCCATGAAATGAAGTAAAATCTGCTTTATTGAACTGAAAATTGGGGGGCGGGGGGGGGAATCCATTCTGAAAATTTGCTAATGTGGTCTAACCAAATTACACTTAAACCACTATTATTATTACTACTACTATTATCACTGTTACATAAAATTAACCAGCAAATTATTTTTCCACACAACAAGCAATGAGAGCAATCCTGAGCCAGGTGAAGGCTGCTAAGATTTCAGCTACCTGCCCTTCCTTGTAAATGATATGCCCTGTTGTTACATGCAGTCACATCACCTCCAGCCTTTAGTGACATCCAAAATGTCCTGTCATTAATGGCCTTGGTCAGCTCTTGCAAAATCAAAGCTGTAGCTTCCATGATATATCCAAAATATGATCACATTTTTTCCTCTAGAGAGAGTTCAGGCTTGATTTGATCTGTGACTCAACTGTTAGAGCCTTTACAGCATTGCATGATATCTGCAAACTCTCATCCAGCACTGTATTTCGAATGAATTGATTTTTCCCCCTTGTTGGCTTTCTCTACTATCCAACTACCATTTCTACAAAAAGTCACTGGAAATATAATTGTGTCGATAATCTTGACCTTGGTCTTCAGTAACACATCCTTACACTTGATAGTCTTCTGTAATTCCTTTACAGTCTACCTCACAAACCCCAGTCTTCTTTCTTCTCATTTTTTGGCTACAGACTTCATTTGGTTTGATGACTGAACCAAGGTATACAAAAATATTTAAAATGTCAGTTTCTTCATTGTCAACATAAAAGTTGAGTAATTTTTCTATAGTCATGACTTTTGTCATAAGATTCAACTGCAATCCTGGCTTTTCCACTTTTTTCTTTAACTATCAGGAGTTGTTTTAAATCATTGCTGCTTTCTGCCAGCATCATCTGGATGTCTTAAATTATTCTTGTTTCTTTCACCATTGTTCACTTCTCCTCCATCTGAATCTAATCCAGCTTTCCATATCTGTTCTGAGTATAAATTTAGTACATGAGTTGCTAGAAGTCCTTTTGGCTTTAATTTAATTGTATAATTAGCAAGAGTGCTATTCCTACACTCTCTCCTTAGATGTCGAGCTGGATAAACGCATTGGGAAAGCAGCTACCATGTTCTCTAGACTCACAAAGAGAGTATGGCTTAATAAGAAGTTGACGGCATACACCAAAATACAGGTCTATAGAGCCTGTGTCCTGAGCACACTCCTATACTGCAGCGAGTCCTGGACCCTTTGTGCACGGCAGGAGAGGAAGCTGAACACCTTCCATATGCGTTGTCTCCGACGCATTTTTGGTATCACCTGGCAGGACAAAGTTCCAAATAGAGTAGTCCTAGAACGAGCTGGAATTTTCAGCATGTATACAATATTGAAACAGCGCCGTCTACGTTGGCTTGGGCACGTCGTGAGAATGGCTGATGGTCGGATTCCAAAAGATCTCCTGTATGGAGAATTAGTGCAGGGAAGCCGCCCCCGAGGGAGACCACAGCTGCGTTACAAGGACATCTGCAAGCGGGATCTGAAGGCCTTAGGAATGGACCTCAACAGATGGGAAACCTTGACGTCTGAGCGTTCAGCCTGGAGGCAGGCGGTGCATCATGGCCTCTCCCAATTTGAAGAGACACTTGTACAGCAGACCGAGGCAAAGAGGCAGTCCCGAAACAAGCAAAACCAGGGAGCTGGACAGGGCACAGATTGGATTTGTCTCTAGTGTGGAAGGGATTGTCACTCTCGAATTGGCCTTCTCAGCCACACAAGACACTGTTCCAAGACCTCCATACAGAGCACGATACCATAGTCTCTCGAGACTGAAGGATGCCTACACTATTCCTACTTGTTCTCTGCTATCTCTATAGCTGCTTGAACGCTCTCTGACTTGACAGTCTCATATTCCAGCACTATTCCTTTTTTCATTTTGGATTATGTCATCACTGGGTTTTCAAGGTAAGAAATATTCAGCAGTGTTTGTCACTGCTTTCTGTACTAACAAAAGTTAGAATAAATGTCACTGCCATTGTCTGTCTGTGAAAGATCCTCCATCAGTGTCAGCTTCCACTACTGCTACTGTCCAACGGCTTCCTTCCAAGAGGTCCTCCACCTCCATTACCATTGAAACTACCCATACTCTTCTGCTGATGTGACCTCTAGTCATGAAAATGGTGGATGCATCTTAGTCTGGTGTCTCAACTTTGGCCATTCCATCTTGGGTGACCCTTTTAGAAGTCTAGACTAGACATGGGGGTATTCGTATTTCAATATTCCCACACAGCTGGACTTAACGAGGGTCTGCATTTGCATCCGGCGCTGGTGGCAGCCTTGCTCATCCTTCCAATCACTCCCAGAGTGCCACTCTCTTCCCGCTCGGCTAGCCACTTGGCAGGCATTCAGGGAGACTCGTCCTCACTCCCACTGCCTGGAGTGGCTAGCCAAACAAGAAGAGACCGGTGCTCCAGGAGTGATTGGAAAGATGAGTGAGGCCGCTGCCACTGTCGGACACGTGAGTGGCCAGTTGGGCCCCATGGGCCAGACCGTCATTAAGTCCAGCTGTGTGCGGATATTCGTATACAAATACCCCATCTCTAGTCTAGACTAGTAATGGAGTGTCACCTCCTGATGGCCAGCCACACCATTCACTTCTAAGGGCAAGCCAATACTGAAACATGTTGTCAACCGTAACCATGTAGTGTTTGCAGTCGCTAAATACTACAATAACTATTGGATTGTGTAGAAGAGGAACCCAGAATGTTTCATTACCTTTTCAAAGTTTCCAGAGGCTCTTTTCTATCCATGATTCCTGTATCTGGATCAACTGTAGTAAATATGCATCTATAACAATAATATAAAATGAGATAACAGAAACGTCAGATCTTTTCCCCAGCAATCTAAAAACTGTCCAAAAATGCTTACCTGGGGCAGGCTGCTGCTCCTTTCATTTCTACACCTCCAATCTTAATCTCATCCCAGGTATCCTATGAAAATAAAATGTTTTGTATTTACACTGTATTATTCATTTTGGGACTTTCTCCTTTACACAATATGTAACAACTTTCCTACATCATTAATCTAAATGCTGTAAGAGAATTACACTTACATAAGCAGTCCAATTCATGGCTACAAGCTTATTATGCTCCCTATTTGGGTTGATGTTTTAATATTTTTTATCCAATTTTGAAAATATTTGAAAACACTGAGAGAGAAAGGGATTCAACATGTATACTGAATCATGTATGACTTCCTGTTTCATGTATACTAGTTTCATGTATACTAGCATTATTATATGCTGGCTTTCTTTTGCAAATATAAGAAAGTTAAAACTAAATGAAATTGCAAATTATATTTTTCTGTTCATAAGACATGATGTCTCATTCATAAAAGATGTCCACAAAGTTAGATGAATTAGGTTTTAGAGTTATCTACGTTGAGGTGTTCCAGTCAGAATATCCTGGTGATGACGGCAGGTGACATTTTCAGTTTTCCTACTTTCTCTGCCACCCTTAAGCACTGTTGCTATTCCAGAGGGAACCCCAGCAGATGGTAGAGGGCATAGGGAACTGCAAGGGGAGGGAGGAATGGACAAAGATTGTTGGCTTCTCTTCTATTCCATCAGCATGATTCCTTTACTGAATCAGAAGCTGCCTGCGGAAAGACAGAAAACTTATATCTGCAGGAGGTAAATCCTGGGTTGAGTGCTCACTACCTGTCTCTCTAAAAATATGCAGATAAAAGAACATGGAATGGAAGATTTTCTCTGAGTGAATCTCATGGTTGCTGCTGCAGGAATGAGTTTTAATAGTCCCTATTCCTATCAGAGGCATCCTCCTGGGAGGAGAACCAACCTGTACGGCCATGGGCAAGCTGCATTATCCCGGAACACTACCCAAAGAACAGACTGGTAAACAATTTCTCACTACTTTATATCTAAGAAATTCTGGCCTCATCTTAAGTTGTAATTGATTTGATTGCAGGTAATGATTATGATTATTATTATTTAGGTCAGAATCAGCAGGGATGTACCCATGTACGTCTACGTCTATTTAAGGATTTTAAAAAGTCCCTTTCTTCCCTCTAAGAATCATGGTGGGCAATTCTGCCATTTTTAAGGAGTTCCTAACAATCCTTCATGGTAAAAGAAAAAAGAAAATAAAGAAGAAGCAGCTTTTTGGCCACTAGAGGGAACAGATTTTTTTCAATTAAAAAGACATTTTTGTAAGAAAATTTGGGAGGGTGGGATAAGATACAGCCCTTGAAAGTCCAGGAATGGGCATCTGCAACCCTTAGATTTCCAGAGACTGCCCGTCCCTGATTTAGGCAAATATTACATATTTAATTTTGCCTCCCAAAGTGAAACCATTTCTCACATACCTCTACTCCTATTATTCAGTGTAAATAGGTTACCTGGCACTTCACAGTGTTTCTTCTTCTTCTTCTTCTTCTTCCGCTCCTATTATTCAGTGTAAATAAGTTACCTGGCACCTCACAGTGTTTCTTCTTCTTTCCTTAAGCAGTATATAAAACCTATTTGCTACATGACACCAGTCTTTTATTTAATCTGCTTGAGACTGGCTCTTTGATCTGCTCTTTGGCTAAATAAAGCCTTGATTAATAGGTATCTCCCATCTTCAGGGTGGGGAAAAATAATTGGGCATCAGCTCAATAACAGCACCAACCTTCTTCTGTTAGATTTATGATAACCATGATTATTGTTGGACAATGGAGGATATTTTGAACAGCCAACCAGGGCAGTATTAACAACCAAACAAGGGCATTTAATTTCACCCAAACAGGAAACTGAACTGAGAACAACATCTTCCCTAATCACTCGGTATTATGTTTAATTTGGCTGCAACCTACCTTGGACATAAACAAAATTTTATCCCAGCTTCTCTGACATGAGTTAGCTACATTTCTGTGTGCCTTTGTTCCACCAGACATAAAGTCTGAAACCTACCACCTTTGAGCAAATTCTGTAGCACCACTTTTGAAACTTCCTTTAAACAAGGAAAGTCAGTCCACACATCTGACCATGGATTTTGGAACACACCTTTTTTCTCTTTTAAAATTGTAAAGGTTTGCTTACATCTGATACTCTTCTACCTCCATCTCTCAAATATCTTGTGCATAAAACTAAGGAAATAAGATGCAATGGAGATTTTATTTCTTAATACTCCAAGGATTAGTTCAGCAATAACATACCTTAGCTATCCAACTGACTTTAATTGCAAATCCTAGCATCTTAAAAACCCTAACATTTATTCCCTCAACAGTCTGTGCTATCACCTTGTTAATGTTTAGAAATAAAACTGTCACTTCTGTTAAACACTTCCATTTACATACAAGTGCAAAGTTATTCTCTGTGTGAATAATATTTTGTATAGTACCTCCTCATGAGGATTGCAGCCTGTGACCAGAATGTTTGGCCTGAAGTTTCGTATCTGAACCTTCTTCTGTAGTCGGGAATTCAACTCTTCTAAAGAAGCTTCAGAGAGCACCATAATGGGACTACAGTCAGGATAGGCAATCTAGGGAAAGATATTCACTAAGAACTCTGAAGACATCCAAAGACAATACATCTAAATCAGAGGTGACAAACTGGTTGCACTGGATGAAACCTTCAAACTACTTGATTAACAACTTTAATTTTAAAGCTCAAATATCTGACCACAAGTCATGGATAGGTAGTCTTGTCAGTACATGCAAAGGGGAGAAGGAGAGAATAGCATTCCTCCTCTGCCGCCATCGCCACGTTCTACTTCTTTTTCTTCAACAGTAAGTATCCTTTGCATTAATAAAATGGGAAGGAAAAGAACTATACCATTCCACAAGTCCTTCTCATGTTTCCGAGGCATGGGAGGGCTTTGCATCCTACAGCTTCACTGCCCTCCTGAATATCTATTTTTTGTATTCTCCAACAAAGGAGCACTGACACTGAAGAAACCGTTTGTCAACCACCTTCCTCAGGCTTATGCGGGAAGGCATGTAAAATTAGATATCTCTCTTCTAGGGATGTCAGTTCTTCCCTGGCTCATCTTCTTAGAGCAATGTCTCAACTTTGAGTAACCCAGGTGTTCTTGGACTGCAACTCCCCAATATTCTGACCACCACACCTGGTGGTGAATGCTTCTGGGAACTGCAATTCAAGAACACCTGGGATACCCAAGGTCGGGAACTACTGTCTTAAGAGTAAACATGAAAGCACACACACACTTACGTACACAATCTCCTCACTACAAGCTAAGGAGAGAATTCTGTCACCATCACAGCTGGTGGTGAATGCTTCTGGAAACTGCAATTCAAGAACACCTGGGAGACCCAAGGTCGGGAACTACTGTCTTAAGAGTAAACATGAAAGCACACATACACTTACATACACAATCTCCTCACTACAAGCTAAGGAGAGAATTCTGTACATTTGAGAGGGAGATTCTGCTGCATTTCCATAAAATGTGCATTATGGGAAAATGTGGCAAGTGTTGCCTTCTTGCCTGAACTAACAAATGGAGTTGCATTGAATAGGTTGCTTGGTGTCTTCCTTTATCACTCAGTTGTCCTTCTGAACTTGCTGTAGACATGTTTAACTTTAAAAAAGAAGGGAGGGAAGGCACCTGCTTTGAGACATTTTGTTTGTTATCTTGGTCTCACACTGAAAGTGAGATGTCTCATGGAGGTTGAAGAACCTTAGTAGCCTTGTGATGCAGTGGTTAAACTGCCATACTGCTTCTCACAACCCGGGTTCAATCCCAGGTGGCCGGCTCAAGGTTGACTCAGCCTATTATCCTCCTGAGGTTGGTAAAATGAGTACCCAGCTTGCTGGGGGTGCCAATGTGTAACCTGCATAATTAACTTGTAATCTGCCCAGAGAGTGTCTGAAGCGCTATGGGACAGTATACAAACTTTTTCCCTTTTTCTTTCTTTGATAGGCTGTCTTGCCATGCTGAGATAACCCATTTCAGCCAAAATCAATACAGTGGTGAGAATTTATTTTCATATCACACATGTCTCCAAGGCCTTATATCTCTCTTCATGTTAGCTACAGAGATATACAATTGCCATCTCTAAAGAAAACCTGATTAATAATACGTGCCAAGAACATCATAGTGTGGCAGCCATCAAGTATGTAAGATTTTTTTTTCACTTGCACTGACATGTACACTGAAAAGCACATTCACCATAGAAAATTATGATGGACACATAGTACAGATTGTGAGAGCACTACTTTCTGACCTTATCGCTGGGTCGAAAAGGTTCCATTAAATCTTTTGCATTCCTGGGAACCATGTTTGATTCAAACTGAACCAAACGATATGGCTCTGATTTTAAGAAATCTGTGATCCATTGAGCTGCCTCTTCTCCACAGTCTCTTCCTTGGATATCAGTGCCAAACAACCTAAAACAATTGCAAGAGTTAGGTCAGTAAGATCTGCAAAAGTCATTTAAAAACTGGTGAGGAAACTATGCTAAGCAACAGCAAACATTAATTTCAAAATACATTTCCAATTTATAATTTTAAAAACCACCATATATTGTGGTAAATATCACAAGGTTCAGAGTTAATATCACAACACTAACAGAAAATCCAAAAAGCATAGTGGCCATGTTGATTCAGATAAATAAAATGACATGCGGGAAGGCAATGCCTTTACTGATTTCCCGTGGGTTTATGACTTTTTAAAAAAATCTTATGGAGTAACATAGTTACCTTTGCTTCTGAAACTACTTTGAAAAACGCCAAATTTGGCTGCTCAGTCCAAATACAATTACGAAAATCATATTTTTCAATCACTATTGGGGACTGAAGCCAGTATTTATTTTTTCAGTTGTGGAGTGGACAGTGCTTTTGAATTTATTTGGGTGCAACAAGAATTGATCAATACAATCTCAGTAGCCACCCTGGATGGGATAGGAAGATCTCTGATCCAGCGTTACTTGGCCAGCACTTTCAATCAGACCTTCCTGCAGTGTTATGCCAGCCAGATATAACCGGAAGTGGCTTGTTTGCTCTCTACATAGCGATGGTTCTGAACCTTGGTTCTCCTGATGGTCTTAAACTGTACAGTAATTTCCAGAAGCCCTGATAAATGTCAGCATGTTGGCAATTGCAACTAAGTCTTCAAGGTGTTATAGTCCAAATACATTAATTTGTCCAAAGGTGGGATGTCCAGTATAAAATTAGTACTAGAAAGGAGCCCTAGGCCCTTTTCCTTTTTGAAAATAGGAATGCGAAATGACAGGTACCCTCAGGAGAACAAATGCCACAAGCTAATGTTTTTAACAAGTAAAAGTATTCCTACTATTGCTTTTCCAAAAATTATTTTTAAAGCATTAAATTTCGAAAGCCTCTTTCTGGCACTGGTCAAAAAAGTAACACATTGAACATTAACATCTTAATTCTAACATGTTGATTCCAAACTCTGCACCTGTTGTTGTATCTGCAATTATATATCTCATATTTAAATTGTTTTTAGAAGCAGTAATGGGGATCGTGTATTGCATGAGGATTACAGTGCTGGCAGAAAGGGAATTAATTCTTTTCCATGCAATGTTTCCTAAATGAAATAAAGGGCAGCCATGTGATCCATACAAAATAAACTACAAATGTAAGAATATGTGATACCTTTATAGACCATCCAAGAGTAACTTACCTAGAAAAATCTATCTTGCCATGAACTTTTGAACGTTTAAGTTCTTCACACTGGTACAATGAAGTGGTGTTTAATCCAGGAAAACTCACTTATTGTACGGTGATTTTTAGTGGTCTGCAAAGATATTGCCTATTCTTGCATCTGCATTATATTTCCTAGCTGTATCTCATACGGTATATTCCCTCTTAGAGAAAACATCAATGATTCAAAAATTTTTTACTATAGTATACCTCATTATAACTCTTTACCTTTCCAACAAGAATTTTTAGTTGAACATCAAGTGAAAAAAACCTATAAATCAGTGTGAAAACCCACATGTTGATTAGAGTACCAGACAGCCACTTGTGTGATCCAGATTCAGTGAAACTCACTGGGTGACCTTGGGCCCATCATTCTCTCTCAGTTTGACCTATGTCAATCTACTGCTATGAACATAAAACGGGAAGGCAGAGCTCAATGATACCTTGAGCTTAGTACAGGAAACATGGGATATAACCCATGACAACGATGAGTCAGTTGCCAGTAACATGTCTACAGTGGCTGGATTTAAGGCTCAAAGTAGATGTTAGCAGCCACATCCTTGTTCATGTACATACACACACTATTTCCATTCATCCACAAACACATACCCAGCCTTGCAATTTCTAAAAGAAAACAGCCTCCCATTAGGTACAGTGACTATCTTCTTCCTTCCTACTACATACTGTCGATGCTAGGAATTTCATTCAGATCTAAATGCTAGTGCAGGGGAGAGAGGGAAGAGATTTTTAATCTTTAGTCCCTCAATCTGATGATTATCTGGATCATGACTTCAGCACATGGACTCTGAACTCAAAGTCTTCGATTAGAGCTTCTTTCCATTATGTTTCTTAATGGAAAGTGCAGGCATGGGAATCACAAGCAGGATCAAGGGACCTACTGTTGCCACCATCAGAACCACTCACACAATCACCGGAGCACCCACAATTTGCTGCTTCTTCATACAACTCAGAAAAGAAGCTCTCCCTGCACAGAAGCCTGGTTGGAGGAAGAACACACATATATAATTACTCTCTTCCTTTCTCTCTCTCTCTCTCTCCGCAAAAGAGTTCACATATATACACTTATCTAGAGTTCTCTTGCTAACATTGTCAAGGGTTTCCACAATGTTTTAAAATAGGGGACCACCTTTCAAATTAATTCTAAGTGTACTGTATATAACAGCATACCTTCTGTAGTTGCAGTGTGAGGTGGGAAATATTACAAAGTATGTTAAAAAGGTGAAAATCTGACAGGAGGCTAAGTCTAAAGCACCTGCAGTTCTTTACTGGATTTCTGGTTGATAGCCTGACAGGAATATGAATATCCTTCATTTCTGGAGCACTCAGAGTTAAACAGTCATTTTCATTGGCAATAGAAATCAATACTAGTCGAGGTTCTTGCCGAGCTGTCACCATATGTCCATCTTCCTTTATAACAAGCCAACACCTGATTTAGAAAAACAGAGCAAAATTCTTTAAATACTACTGATTGTGAACTAAATTTTATAGAACTCACCCTTTGACAATATTCAGCCCATTAATAATAAAGCAAAAACACTGGGTTGTTATTCAACTTTGCAGTTAGTTACCGGTACATACTTGCCCAAATCTTACTAATGTTCGCATAAGGTCTGCATAACTTTCCATGGCTAATTCTGGCTAATTGATGAGATGCTCGGTCATGCACCAATTACACAATACAGATGTGCCTGGCATGTCATCAAACATACATAATTAGCTGCTGCAAGCTATGTAAATTGTACACAAACACCAGTGGGACTGTGGCCACTATCTCCAAGGAAGGTTTCCTCTTAAGCAGTAACAAGGTTCAGACGTCACAAATACATCTGCTTCCTTCATATCATTCTGAATAACCTGATATCCTTTCTTTCTTTTTGAGAACGTTTTCTTCTTCCCAGACACAGATTTCGAAATTAAATACAGTGGTGCCTCGCAAGACAAATTAAATTCATTCCGTGGCTAATGTTGTCTTGCGAAACGCGTTTCCCCATAGGAATGCATTGAAATCTAATTAATGAATTCCTAGGGGTGGCGCTGTGGGCTAAACCGCAGAAGCCTGTGCTGCAGGATCAGAAGACCAGCAGTCATAAGATCGAATCCACGCGACGGAGTGAGCTCCCGTCGCTTGTCCCAGCTCCGGCCAACCTAGCGGTTTGAAAGCATGCAAATGCAAATAGATCAATAGGGACCACCTCGGTGGGAAGGTAACAGCGTTCCGTGTCTAAGTCGCACTGGCCATGTGACCACAGAGGATTGTCTTCGGACAAAATGCTGGCTCTATGGCTTGGAAACGGGGATGAACACCTCCCCTCCGTCACGTGGATTCAATTTTACCACTGCTGGTCTTCTGACCCTGCAGCACAGGCTTCTGCAGTTTAGCCCACAGCGCCACCATGTCCCTTGGAGAGGAGAAAGGCAGCGTAAAATATTTTAAATAAATAAAATATATTTTCAAAAATCACTGTTCAAACTTTTGATGTTCTATATGCTTAGACTGTTAAGTACCATTCCATGTTATTTTTCTATAGAAAAGTTTTTGACAAATGTAATAGGGTGGTGCCTCACATAGCGAGGTTAATCCGTTCCGGATTAACCTTCGCTATAGCGAAACATCGCTAAACGGAATTAAAAAAGCCATAGAAACGCATTGAACGTTGTTCAATGCGTTCCTATGGCTTTAAAACTCACCGTTAAGCGATGTTCCTCCATAGCGCCACCATTTTCGCACCCTCGGTAAGCGAGGGCAGGGCGCGAAAATGCAGCGCGGACCTTCCGGCGGCCATTTTGGAACCGCCAATCAGCTGTTCTCCCCCGCTTCGTTATGCAATATTCGCTAAGCGAATCGCTTAGCGAATATCGCAAAGTGAAAAATCGCCATAGGGGCCATCGCTGAGCGAATGCTCCAGCGATGGCCCAGAGCGCCTCGTTAAGCAATTTCATTGCTCAGCGAGGTGCTCGTTAAGCGAGGCACCACTGTAGTTTGAAGCTTTAAACCATAAAAGGCAAACCATAAAAGGATCAGAGACCAGCACAGGCAGGACCAGAAAGAAAGGGAGCTGTGGGGCGGAATGTAACTTGCATTGCATCCAGTATGAAGGGTGAACTCCTGAAATCAGTAAGACTAATTGTAATTTCAAGTGTAATACAGGCTGTGGATAAAATCAAAGGAGGATAGTCGCACCCTTAGTCCATTACACCACAGTGGCTCTCCCTGGGACATTTTGGTTCTACTAAAAACCACCAGGGCTGCCATGGGCTATAAAGCTTATTGATCCACTGGGTTCAGCATATTTATTTACTTCAGCATATTTACCCACTGAGTTCAGTAGTACTTCTACTTGGCAAGATTTCACTGGACTTTAACCCAATCACACACTTTTTTGGAAAACATTTACCCACATTCCAGAGCAGCTTAGGAAACCAGATCCATTACTCCACAACAGGCTTCGATTCTAGCTGGAAATAAAACAACTTTCCAATGGTTCTTCATGTGACTTGCTATCAGCACCGGTAACTAATTTACCTTCCTGTTACTGCTGGCAAAGAAAAAAATGTTAACGAAAGAAGTGGGCAGAAGAGCTGCCCAGAGCCGTTTGACAAGCACCATTAGGAGCCATCCAATGAAAACGGGGACTTCAATTTACTACCAATTAAGCAGCAACGACTCTCAACAGTTTATTAAAAAAAATCCAGCGCATCTTCTTGTCCACCGTGGGGTGCTCAGGATCACAAATTAGTAAAGCGTTTGGGAAGGATTAAGCCCTGCACTGACCATGGGCAGGATTGATTGCTCCCACCCTAAGCAGATTTACAAGAAACCAAGTCCCAATTAGCTCAGGAAGTTTTACCTCTGAGTTAAGACACAGGCAGGTTGCATGCATTCTCTTGAACATCAATGTTCAGGCTTAGAGGGGCGAGGGAGAAAAGCACGTTGTGTTGCAATGGTTTTTAAACTGAAGGCGTGCGGGGAGCCCGAAGAGAAAGCCCCCCGCTGCAGTGCCGCCTTCGAGGGCGACCCACCTACCTGTCCCTCATCTCCCCGTTCCGGAGCCCCAGCTGGGTCACCTCGGCCTGCTCGACGGCCACCCCCCGGCAGGACTTGACCGGGTAAACGAAAAGAGCCGACACTCTCCCCACCGGCCGCAGCCGAGACCGACGGCTTCGACGCCAGCGCCAAGCCGCCGCCGCCGCCCCCAGCAGAGCAAGCGAGGCCACAGCGACGAAGGCCAAGGCCCAGCCAGGCCGCGGCTTGGAGGGCCAGCGGAGGCCGGGGCTGACCATGGCGACGGAGGCTGTGGGTGGCTAAGGGCCGAAGGCGTCTGGGGCTATAAGGCGAGCAGGCGGCTCCCTTCTGGGCCGGGGAAGGGCGGCTCGCTGCCTGCCAAGCCTCTCCGGAAGCCAGAGGGCGGGAATCTTCAGCCAGAGCTCCGGTTTCGGCGCGGTGGGGCTGCTGGCGTTGTAGAAGGAAAGCAAATTTACCCAAAAATCCAATTTAGCCCTCAGAATGAGGGCCCTTCTAATTAAGCGCCTGCTCTGGTCTTGGAAGCCAGACCTTTCCCTGACGAAGTCAATCAACCCTTATGTCAGGTCTTCCTCTTTTCTTGCTGCCTTCTATTTTTCCCAGCCTTGTTGCCTTTTTCAGCGAGGCTTGCCTTCTCACGGACATCTAAAAGTAGGATCGGCCTCACCGTCACTGCAGCTTCTAATGAGAATCCAGGCTTGATTTGATTTGGACTTGCTTGTCTTTCTGGGAGTTCCATGGTATCCATAAAGCTGTCCTTTAACACGACATTTTAAAGGAATTGATTTTTCCAGTTCTTACCCTTAAGGATATTTAGTTCTTTTTAGAGTTTAGAGTTCTTTTATAGCTGCTTTTCCAAGTCTCAGACTTGTGATGTTTGTTTTTTGGCTGCGTTCTTTTTTAAATTTATGATATGAACCAAAGTGCAAAAGGCATTAACACTTTCAGCTTCTGTATTGTCACTTCTCAGCCTTTTGGCTAAGATGGAGTGTAGTACAGTACAGTATTGTCAACCTGAAAGTTAGGTAATTTTTCTGTAGTCATTTTGTCATCTTAAATATTCAACTGTAATTCTCCTTTTGCATGTTCACATTCCTCAGTTGTTGTTTCAGTCATAGCTGTTTCTGCCAGTAATATGGTCTCATCTGCATATCTTAAATAGTTCATGCTTTTTGCACCAGCTTTCACTCCTCCTTTATCTGAATTTTATTTTTCCTATGGTATGTTTTGCATATAGATTGGACAGGGAGGGAGATAAAATACAGCCTTTGTCAGATAGCCTTTCCAGCTAGAAAGCATTGTTTTTCTATTTGCTGTCTTAACAGTAACTTCTATCCAGGGTGTCATTTGTGCTGCCAACCTTAGATGCACACCTAGTGCAGTGAGAGGGTTTGAGTATGCCATGGAAACTGAGTGTAATGCCATAAGAAGACTAAACTCAGTTATGAGTCTGAACAAGTACCAGGATTGCCTAAGGTTGAGTTGCCAAAGCTGAGATACTAAACTGAGATGCACCAACCTTTCTCTGGAATTAGTGGTGACATTAGTAGAAGAGAAATGATAGCTCCAGAGAAGGGCAGAGAAGTTCTTGAAAAGCAGCTACTAGACATCAACAGTACTGAGAGATTACACTGATAAAGATTTTTCATAGACTGCCACAGTGACACTGAAACTAATCCCTGTTATTGCTATGCAGAAGGTGGAAGTGGTAACCCACCTTTGTATATTTTCTACCTTTGAAGTCATACGATGAGATAATCTAGAATGAAACAAGAGATAGTGTTGGAAACGAGACTCCCAGTGATATACACTCAGCTACTACAGAAGAACAAAATAATTGCCACCCAGAGTAGACCATTGCTCTAGATGGGTGGTGTACAAATCTTAATAAAATAAATGAATAAAATATTAAGCATGAATGTTGTCTCCAATCACGGAACTACAATAAAACCAAAAGGATGTCTAATCGGTCTTCATTTAAGAGGTGTTTCTTTGTTTGTGTCTGAAGCACCATAGTACTGTACAATTAATATATCAGATGATTTGCTCCCCAAAATACTGTAGACAACATTAAGAACATTTAGGGCAACTAACATCAAGCTTTCCATAATACATTTTGGAAGACATGGAATATACAGATAAAATGGTGTGCAACTTAAATATTTTAAGTCTCAGTGCAATCAGTGGGACTTATTTTGCTTAGACTACATCTAACAATCTTCAAAATAAGCATGTATGGAAGGAATTACAAGGTACTGTATGTTGGACAGTGTACATTGCATACCAGTTCCACTGCTGAAGGTATTTTGGCTCTCTTAAGCTGCAGTTTGTTTGCCCTCTTACCAAGAAGAATTTGTGCTAAAGTCAGTGGGATTTCTAGAAAACCTTAAAATTAAAAATTGAAACCCCAGTCCCATGTCTGCATTCAGACTCACCTGCAGAATAAAATTAGATTGCAGTTCTATGTCAGGAAAATTGTTTAAATAATAACTACAGGATTATTTTAACAATGGGGACATGAACCTAACTGTTTGCATTTCCTACATTGTTTAGCCATTAGCTTCAGTGACCACTCTGCACTAACGGCACATTTCTTTTAAAACATAATTTGTCTTAGAGCTATGATTTTGGCATGTTCAATTCAGTCTATGAATGTTAAATTAAACATCATACCACCAAGTATTCATTTTGAGAAGAATATTAGAGCTTGCTTTGGTGCATCAGACCAAAGTCAGTTCAGTCTAATATGTGAATCTTCTAGATGCAACTGAATCTACTGCTCACAACCAACGTATGTAATTGACCATCACTGGCTGGATCTGTCACCTGGTATGCAGCAAACAAATGACTCTGAATATTTATTAGCAAATATGTTTTACTGTTCATCATGGCTCCCAAAGCAACACAGAATAAAATAAACTAAAACATGTTCTTAAAACAAAATAAAAATAATTCTAAGCATTAGTTTTAAAACCAAAGGCCATATGTAACAATATAGTTTTTCAAAAGTTGTAAGATGAAACATTTCTTACACACTTTTTAAAAGAATAGCGAAGCAATCACATCGCTCTTTCATGAATCTATGAATTTGTCTAAACATTTCCAAAGCCATAATCCAAACATATGATAGTGAAATATAAAAAAGGGTTACAAATTTATTTGAACACAGCAAATTTTATTGGGGGTTGCCTTGAATTTATTTCTAGAATTATGAAAGGAGAAGAAAAGTTGCCTGTTTCCCATGGATGAATAATTCATTTAAAATAAATGCATGTTTGGAAATCTTCAGTTAATAAATTGTTCTTTGCATTTTCAACTGTTTTGTTGTTGTTATGCAGTAGTTCTCTTACCTAGGTTAGGCTACCATTCATGAGCATTTCTTTCATTAAAAACTGTTGGACCTGAATCCTTTGTAAGCATGGTTGAGATCATGCTGTGCCTGCTATTACCCACCCCAGACTACTACTAGATCATCTCATATTCACTGAGGCAGGGATGTGGCCCTTCATTATTCAGCTGCAGAGATGCACAGATAACCTGTTCCTGTGCCGGAGTATTCAATTTAAGGGGGGGGGATGGGGGCAGGAGGACAGAAAGATAAGTAAATATTTATTTGTTCCTTTCAGGATACATTATACCAAGTAAAAAATAATATTGCTTTATGGATGATGGTAGCCATAATGGTTTCAGGGTGACAGTTGTTTCTGACATCACAATCTGTCTCTTAGCAACAGCTGAAACAATTGTCTTGTGCGCTCAGACCTGCTTTTGGCTAGTTAAAGAAGTGATTATTAGTTACCTCTCCTGACATCTGAGTCTAGGTTTCTGGGAGTTTGGTCTTGAACTCCCAGGGAGTTCAGTATCCTGAGCTGAAACCTCAGACCCATACCCTCTAATGGCTTCATTTTAGGACCTTATCTCTGATTTTTACAAGCTTTCATCTAAATTTGCACCACTTATTAGAACTCCAGAACGGGTTTACATTACATGTGAGTACGTCAGTCGTTCTCCTGTTTGGGGGGAAATGGTATTGGCAATTTCTGGATGTGTTCCTCCTGACAAATTAGGCTCACAGCTTTAGGATTCTTCTAGACAGCTTCCTCTTAAGAGTTATCTGTAAAGTCTCAAGTTATGTCTGTGTCATTGGGGGAGTTGCACCAACTATAACTGATTTACTAGTTGCAAACTCTTCTGTACAGGAATGATTTTGCCATAGTTATCCATGCCCTAGTACCGGTAATTTCCCACAATAATCTAAAGGCAGTTCAGAGGTTTCAGCTGCTGCCAGAATTTAAACTGGCATATTTCCTGGTTAGATTATTATGATGTGTTATATGTACACATCACAATAATCTAAAGGCAGTTCAGAAGCTTCAGCTGCTGCCAGAATTTAAACTGGCATAGCTCATGTGAACCACAATTAAAATAGATTCACTGGGTTGTTTTTTTGTTTGCTTCTGATCCCAGTTCAGAGCTGTGACTCTTCCTGAGCAGGGTGGAGACCTGGTTTCTTGAAGAAGCACTTACTCTCATATCAATCTGCCCATTCTCTATATGGCAAAAGTAAGACAGCTGTTGGATCCTGGGGGCCAGATTCCCCCAAGAGCAATATGGCAGTCCCAGTTGTATCAGGATGGGGAAGAATCCAGAGAAGATGTGGGAAATGGTATGGAATCAAAGATATGTGGCCATTTCATGCCACCTTGCTCACATTTCCAGTTGGGAAGGAAAGCAGAAGATTTCTGAGGACCAACCTTCTCCAGATCCTCTATGAGCCATATTTGGACCATGAATGAGCTGGAGTAGGTCTGCAGCCTGGGGGTTACTCTTCCCTACCTTAAAGTAATTTAGCACTAATATTATCTTTAGGAACCAGGTTTGGAACAAAAAATACTGATCCCAGTACTTTAGGTTTTAACCTCTTCTTTATTTGACACTGTTGCTTTTTAACTGTTTGTATGTTTTACTGTGTTGTAGTTTAGGTTTCTGCATATTCTTTTATATTGTTATAAACTGCAAAAAAACAAATTGATAAAGGTTTTATATAACTAATTTAAATTAACAAATATAACTAAATAACATATTTTAGGATTAAGTGGAGAAGATCTACAGCCTGAGGCCCAGTAGAAAAGAAGACTTGGCAAAGAAAAAATTAGGAGTCAAAACAGGATGGGAGACTGGAAAGCCTACATCAATGCAATCCTGAAGGACAAGAACATTGAAGATATAGCTATTGTGGGGCATTCAGACAACAAATGTGTCTGGGCTTCGAAGCCAGGAGGCTTGCTGGCTGCTATCTCTCCCCAGGAGGTAGGACTGATTACTGGGCAAGACCGAAAAGCATTCCTGCAGACGGGAATCACTATTGCTGGGAAGAAGTGCAGTGTAATCCGTGACTATTTGCTAGTGGAAAAAGATGCTGTGATGGACACTCGAACCAAAGGTGGTGACAGCAGATCAATCTGTATTGGGAAGACTCCGAAGGCTCTTATCTTCCTCATGGGCAAAAAGGGAGTCCATGGAGGAGTTCTTAACAAGAAGGTGCATGACATTATAGCAAGCATGCAAACAAAAGGCAGCTAGAGCCAGAGACTTCTCGGCATTGATGTTCTCCTGGGTGAAAGCCATGGAGGGGAACTATACGTGTTTTAAAATAAAAAAGGCATTCAGCCAAATCCTCTCTGTTGCTTTGAGTTGTGAGGTAAAGGTAAAGGTAAAGGTTCCCCTTGACAATTTTCGTCCAGTCGTGTTCGACTCTAGGGGTTGGTGCTCATCCCCGTTTCCAAGCCATAGAGCCAGCGTTTGTCTGAAGACAATCTTCCATGGTCACATGGCCAGTACGACTTAGACACGGAACGCTGTTACCTTCCCACCAAAGTGGTCCCTATTTATCTACTTGCATTTGCATGCTTTCGAACTGCTAGGTTGGCGGGAGCTGGGACAAGCAACGGGCGCTCAGTCCGTCACGTGGATTCGATCTTACGACTGCTTGGTCTTCTGACCCTGCAGCACAGGCTTCTGTGGTTTAGCCCGCAGCGCCACCACGTCCCTTCCGCAGTGCCACCACGTCCCTTGAGTTGTGAGGTAAATCAGCTTAAATACAACTTAAATCAATTGTCTGGTAGCTCCTATTACCTAAAATTTAGAACTGCAAGAGCTGGAAGGGACCTTATGGACTGTTGAGTCCAGCCTTTATCAAGGAGGCCTATGCCTAATCCACTGAGCTATCTGGCAGTCGAGTTAAATTAAAGTAGACTACTTTGTCCAAGTCGCTGCTGTCAAGACACTGTCCTGAGTTGCAGATAATGGAAGTTGTGATGCCAAGACAGGGAGAAGGTACCAGGTTGGTCAAAGCTGTTTTAGGGGGGGAAAGATAATAAAAGATAATAAAGTGGCACAGTTATTCCAAGGACAGTCTTCCAGATGTATGTGGTTTGCAACTCACACATCCCAAGCAAGCACAACAACAGGTATCTGTTGATGATGAATGCTGGAAGTTGCAGTCTAAGCAGCATCTACACTGTAGATTCTACAGGTTTGAACTTGACCCACCCCTCTTCTAAGGTTTCAAGCAAAAGGCACCTCTTTTAAAGCTACCTTTGTCCAGTACAGTAGTTCTAAATTAGAGTGAGGACAACTTTGTTCTCTTAATCCTTGGTTATATTATGGAACATTTGCAGTGGAACTTGAGGAGCATCATAGATGACTGAGAGGTCAACAGAAGTTAACAAGGCAACTGTTTCTTCTTAGTTTCAAAGTCATACATTGTGTTAAATGTTGGATTTCTCCTGTAGAGTTCTTTCCAAGTCTAAAGCCAGCCTGTTGGGGAATGAAGAGTGGTTCGCCTACTTTCATTAGATGGTTACTGCCCAGAGTAGACCTTTGGTCTAGATGGGCGGGGTATAAATCTAAATAAATACATAAATTAAAGGGTCACAAAAAGAGCCTCCCCAAAGAAGGTGAACACATTCGAGTGTCCCAAGGCAATGACAGCATCTGTCAGCTGATCCCTCCACTCTAGGAGCATCAACATGAGGTTGTACAAATACCAATGGATACAAGAGCCACCAATTTAGCATTTTTATATAATTCATTTCAAGCATTCAAAATATTGCACAAACATTATCTTTGCCACCTTTGCACCAGGCGTGTGAGGTAGACTATTTAGTGGAACATAGCCACCTTCTACAAATCCAGCCCTGCTATTAGGAGAGTACGTTAGTCAACTGAAGTGGCAAATTTGGGCAGCCGTGGCAGCCTCTAAGCCATCCTCAGTATAGGTTGTCCTAAATTTCCTGAACTTGCTGTCTTCAGGTGTTACAGAAAATGCCACCTTTTTGCAGTGTTGAAGTAAGATTAAGGTGGAAGCCCACAAATGGACATACATGGAATGGAGTCAGGATTGCCAGTGTGCTTAGGCAACAAATTATTCTGTGCCACACCTAACTTTTCCTAAACTTCTAAGATCCTGGTGTCATTAACCAGGTCATATACCATAGTTTGGAAATATTTGGGAATTGGGAGATTGGCTAACTTTCTGAGTTAAGTGTCTACAGAGCTAGAGACTGGGAGTTCAATTCCCCACTGTGTTTCCCAGGAGAAGAGCAAACTGTGAAGCTCGATAGCACCCCCTCCCCAGAAAAAGAGAATGGTGAACTACGGTACTTCTGAATATTTAAATGTAGGAAAACATTGAAAGCATTGCCCTAAGTTGGAATCAACAGCATGTAATTATTAAGAACTCTTGGGATCACAGATTTACCACTCCCAGTCGCCTTGCTGATGAAGGGTTTCTGGCAGCTGTAAGCCACACATAAATTTTCCAGGCTTTGAGATAAATCAGAAATATGCCATCTAGTTTCACAATGTTCATGTGCAGCCTACTTGTTTTCCCACCCCTTATTTAGTTATTCCTTCTTACATCACATTTTTGTGAGGCCAGGTTTAGGAAGCACCTAAATAACAGGTGGAAACCACTGCCTTTGGCTTCAGCTGAGTTCATGCTGACACTGCTTCTGTTGATGCCCAGACTGATTGCTGGCACTATGATTTGCTCTTACACACTGAAGAGAACACAGTGTACACTGTGAAATGCAGAAGTTGTCAGAGCACATTAATTCCAGTATTTGTGCCAATGCAAAAGGTACATATCAATTCCCATATACACAAAGAAAACTCCCAACAGTCATTGTCAATAGTTTTGAAAACTTGTACCGTATAATTGTTATAAAACCAAATCCTGTTAGATACATCTGTTGGCAAAACAATTGGTTTTATTTATTTATTTGATTTTTATACCACCCATCTGGCAGCCAAGGCCACTCTGGGTGGTTTACAACAACGAAAAGGATTCAACATAAGGACAGAGAACTCAGCAACATCTATTAAAATATAAAAGGTACAAAACAAATTACAATAAAAATACATGGTATAACAAAAAAAATAAAGTGAGAAGCATGGTGCTAGGTTAGACATTAGGTTATTGGAGGCATTATTGTATCAAGGTGTTTTTAGATCAGAGACTACCTGTCTAAATAACCAGGTTTTTAATAGCTTATTAAAGGTTCCCAATGAAGGGGCTAGGTGAATCTTGGGCGGGAGACGGTTCCATAATTGCAGAACTACCACCAAGAGGGCCCAATGTCTGGTGGTCATTTCTTAGGCCTCTCTCGAGGTTAGAACTCTCAACCGCCCTGCCTGAGACAATCTTACAGAACGGGCAGACCTGATCAGAAGGTTTACATTTCATAATTGAAATGATGCAAATGAAGTCAGGAGTTATTTGTTGTTGTGCTCCAAGTTACATGATTTGGTACCCAACAGCGAATGACTTCTTTTGTGGAAATTTTCATTATACTGGTATGAAAACATACAGGATTCAATATATAACTAACAATATACTGGCCAGAATGCTACTAGCGAGTTTCATTGTTATAAGTGCTGCGGTATAAATGGCAGCAGCAAATAGCCACTAGTTAACAAGTTACCTCTAGTTGTGTGCCAGTCATGTGAGGTATGTGACAAGGAATATAAGCAAGTATACATTAATTAGCAGCAATGCACACTATCACAGTTTAGCCATTGCACTTGTGCTTGCATAAATAATAAGATCCTGGCCATTATGTTAAATTCCAGTGTATTTGCTAAAAAGGAAATTGTTCTCCTGTTGCTTTGCACAGTAAATTGCACTAGAGTAAGTCTACTGAATCAATGTTGATTTGGCAAGTTAACTCCTCTGTAAGTTACGTCAATTCAAATAGGTCTACAGTACTTTAACTGTGACTTACTTTAGCATACTTAAATCACAGTTAGAGTGGGCCTCTTTGTATCAATGGAACTTGCAGAGGAGTTGATTCATTCAATTCCCATTTATTCAGTGGACCTACTGTAGCACTGTTTACAAAGCAATTTACTAAGCAACAAGATGTTGGCTGCTGGAATCTGGTGGAAAGATGATGAATCTTGAATGCCAAATATGTCATACTTCCAACATCATCCCGAGTTTAAGCTACAATGTGACACCTAAGGGATGTTTGCAAGTCTTTGGGTTCAACTCCTGAGTACAAGTCTTTGGTACCAAGTCCTGAGACCCAAGTCCCAAGTCAGAGTTTTTTCCCCCAGAAAAAAGGGAGAGGGTGAATGGGTTCTGAGTCATGAGTCGAGTTTGTCATTGAAAAAAAAAAGTCAAGCCGGTGTCAATTCACTGGTGCCACTTAAGTCTGACTTGTTAGCGAGTCCTGCGAAAAAAAAGTCAAGCCTGTGTCAATTCACTGGTGCAACTTAAGTCTGACTTGTTAGCGAGTCCTGCAACTCGAATCCCTATTTCTGGCAAAGGTAAAGGTAAAGGTTCCCCTAGAATTCCTATTTCTGGCAAAGGTGAAGGTAAAGGTTCCCCTTGACAATTTTTGTCCAGTCGTGTTCGACTCTAGGGGGCGGTGCTCGTCCCCGTTTCCAAGCCACAGAGCCAGCGTTTGTCCAAAGACAAGCTCCCGTGGTCACATGGCCAGTGCGACTTAGACACGGAATGCTGTTACCTTCCCACCAAGGTGGTCCCTATTTATCTACTCGCATTTGCATGCTTTTGAACTGCTAGGTTGGCGGGAGCTGGGACAAGCGACGGGCGCTCACTCCATCGCGTGGATTCGATCTTAGAACTGCTGGTCTTCTGACCCTGCAGCACAGGCTTCTGCGGTTTAGCCCGCAGCGCCACCCCGTCCCATTAACAAAATAAGGCCTTTGATGAGATGGCTCTAATGTTCTAGAATACACATTAACAAAATAAGGCCTTTCATGAGATGGCTCTAATGTTCTAGAATACACCATAAATTCCATTTGAGGGCTACTTTTTAAAAACAAATACATCAAACATTATTTTTAGTCCTACTTATTTTTTGAAAACACATGAAACTTCCTTTTAAAAAACTGGATTTTTAGCTTTTCTTGTCAACTAAATCAGGTTACCACTGGTCCTTTGCATTCATTTCTAGAAAGCAACCCCATTGAATCAGCCCCATGGGACTATAGGAATCACCCTTCTAAAAAGTAACTTTTCCAAACATGACAGCTGCTCCAGAAAAACATTCTTATTGCTTGTGTGGGAAAAAATTGAAATCTCATTATTTCTCTAGGAAGACACAGTAGAGTGACTTGGGACTTGATGTGTATCTACGGGAGT